AAATAAAATGGGTTTTGAAACTACACTTTTCGTCATTCTCCCTACGTCACAATCATAGTCTCTGGGGTAGAAGACAGTGTACTTCGGAAAGGCATATTTTAGGGGAAATGTCGTATCGGGGGAAATTATTTCGCCCCCTCCCACATAATTCTGACATTCAGGATGCGCCCCTGACTACAATACTAGAGATTTTCTGTTGAATCCTCGCCAAAAGTAGACGGATGTCAGCACTTCCATGTATACTTCTTGGCGATAAGCAATCATTTTGACATTACGCAGCATATGCTTGCTTGAGAAACACGAAGAAATTATTATGCTTATCGGATAAATCATGCCACCCCCCCCCCCGAAAAAGAAAAGAAATGCGGGCAAATTTCATATCCTACCGTCAGACTGTAATGTTCTTTGAAAATAATGTTCGGATTATCGGGTTATGCAATAGGTAATTTTAAAATGGACATATTTCAAAAGATGATGCCTTTCATGCATGAATTGAATGAATTTATGTTTCATTATTTTTATTGTCATGGACCTCTTAAAAAGTACGCGTTTTTGTTTAATTTAATTGCCATTTTATTAGGACATCAGCACCAACCCTTTGTGTTTTTGTTTCGGTTTGTTTCAAATACTTGTATGATTGCCCGTAAAATTATCAATATGGTGCTCTATCCATTTCAAATGGAATTTTATTTTTTATAATTATAATTATGTATTAATATTATGCGGAGAATGGTCGTTTTGTTTATTATGAGATGATATGATACTGTTATGATCATGCTGTATGATTGAAATAAAATGTTTTTATACGCAATTCAAGGCGTCCCGATATTTTTCTTTTCAGTCTTGCGTCAAACAGTTGATGATTGTTTTATGAAACTTAACTAAAATACAGGTTTAATGATTATTAAACGAAATGTCAAAAAATAACATATAAAACAGGGAAAATACAGAACTATTATAATCTATTTATTCTATAATGTTGTTGTAAAGCAGTTTAAGAAATTGATTGAATAACACTTTATGGTATTGTGCCTTGCAGTGTATGCCCAATATTATGAAGGATGTTGCAAAAGTTAAGAAAAAGAGAGAGAAAAAAATTCATTATAGAGGTTTACTGATTGTACTTCCATCAAATCATCCGGAATAACGTTTATAATAGCTGGAAATGGGTGTAAAACAAGCACACGCTATCACAGAAATATGAAAATAGGAGGATAAGAGATAGGTAGAGGAAAAAAAAAACAGATTTTATGAGTAGGCGAGAGAGAAAGAGAGAGAGAGAGAGAGAATGAGAGAGGGAGAGAGAGAGAGAGAGAGAGAGAGAGGGAGAGAGAGAGAGAGAGAGAGAGAGAGAGGGGGGGGGGGCGACAGAAGGCGATCGTGACTCTCGTTACCTCAAGATTAATTAAGTCGCATCCTTATTGGAAATATCCCAAAAGACCAACAATCAACAACACCGAAATCCCATGAGACCGTCGAAACACCGGAATGCATAAGAAAATGTAGAAAGAAGACGGTTCCAAGAGATCCACAAGACTGATATCACACGAGACCGAAAAGAAAGAGAAATACATAAGGGAAATATATCACATTACTGATGTTACATGTATTTATCCATTGCATACAAGTATTTAAATCGGCCCAACAGCCCCGATCATCTTTTAATCATCAATAGAGCATTTTGAATAAATAAATAAACAAATAAATAGATAAATAGATATATGAATTTAAAAAAACCTCAAAAAAAAAATGCGAGAAAGCCCACGAGAGAGACAGTTCGGCATCGTCGGTTTCGTGGGATACCGGTCCGTGGGCTGTATCCAGCCTTATTTCTATCTGTCATTAGTATGAATCAACAATGTATCATCAAACTTTACGACTGGAGAGGGGGTGGGAAGAGGATCCTATTTGGCACTGACAAATGATTGGACCGATACCTTTAAACAGCTGCCATAGGACGTGACAGTGATGACCACTTGGACGATGCTTAGCTTTGAAAATTAATTTGTTCTCAACTTCGAATTAACGATTTTAATTAATGACTGATCCCTTTACACGACTCCCTGCTTTACTGTGACAGTCCCTTTCTCTTACTAAATCCTCTGCTCTGAATTTCATGTCCACTGAAATATCCACTGGAAATAAGCTCTCGAGCTTTTGTGGGTTATCCTGTTCAAGCTGACTTAATTTTGATCTGTTATTATTGTATATTGTTGTATGTTGGAAGCTTGGCGAATAAAAATCAATCAATCAATCAATAAAGGAATAGATTTGTGTCATATATTATACAGGGGTCGTGTAAAAACATATGTGTGCATGGATGTTTGAAAAAGGCTTGAGAACATACAAATTTCTAATTTCTTTTATTAGTCGAGAGCAAACGGGAGAGGACTCGGAAGATACGTCACAAAGAGGCTGTTCACACCGGCAGAGATAGCGCGCGCTAGACCGCGCTATCTCCGCGGTTTGGAAGGTACAACGTCGTTTCGGTCCGCCCAACAGCGAGCCACGGCGAGCCAACACTGGAGCACCTCTTGGGGGTGGTCCACGAGAGATAGCGCGGGCTAGCGCGCGCTAGAAAAAAGGGGGTGCTACGATAGACCGCGCTATCTCATTGCGGTGTGAACAGCCTCATAGTTGCCATATTGTGTTTGATCGAATGCAACTTCAATCCAAAACTTTTTTAATCGGGCTTTTGCTCAAGTTTTCACTGGTCTGTTTCTCCTTAGTGTTTCTTCATCAATTTTTTACCGCTTTTAGAGAGAAAAAATATCCAAGCATTCAAAACTGAAAAATATCAGCAATACTGCCAATACAACCCTAAGTCGTTAACCTGCGCACAATAAATTAGTTATGCACAAACAAACTTTAGTACGCAAATCTATCACTAAGCACGGAAGTGCTTTCTTTTTTTATCTGGCCTTCTTACTATTGCCTTCCGACCCCTCCCAGTGAATTTCTTTCTTTCCTCTCTAAAGAAATACAAATAGACTTCCGATTACGTGGCACTACTCTTACCTTCCCATCCTTCTCATCCTTTTTTGTGTTTCATCACATGCTTCTTTTTTTCATTTCTTTTCTTTTCTTTTATTGTCATCTATTTTATTTTTCTATCGTTCATTATACGCTTGTACAAAATACTATTGGACCATCTTAGGCGTGTGTCCGGTTTTCGCGTGTTGTTCCCGGAGAGTCTCCGGACGCGCGGGTTCGGCTGCCTATGCCGGATCTTTGTGTTTCTTTTGTCGGGGCCTGTTCGGTGCGCAATATTTTATGTTGCTCGTTGCTAGGTCGGACAGACCTTGAGCTTGCTCGACCTGGCAACGGCAGACTGTTGTACGCTGAATGGGCCTTGGCGGGGGGGACCCGGGGATCTGGCGCGGGCGAGTGGGTTCGTGCGTCTCTGGTCTCTCTGGGAGCGGACATGTGTAGAATTTGATGCTCGTTGATGATGGTCCATTATTTAATTTATACTGGGAATCTCGCTCAACAAGTCTAGCTTTTCTGAGATTCCTTTTTTTCCCCTCTCAGTTAAATCAAGCAATTTAAAATATGTTGTTTAATTCTCAAACATAAATGTACTTTGTAAACTTATTTGATTACGAACATACTTGTCAGTTTTTCGTTACTTGTATAATTCATTTGTTCTATTATATATTGTATTACTGTATGGTTTATATATGTCATTTAATTTGTGGATATTTGAGTGGAAAATAAATAAATAAATCAAATCAAATCAAATCAAATCAAATCAGAGAAAAAAATCCGGCCGACCGATCTACGTTTTGGCAACTAAAGGGCAAGGGGGCGGGTGCATGTTATTACCCTACATGAGGATGTTACCTACATCTATTATTTCGGCCTATCCAATTGTAGTGTGCCCGCTATGGGTAGATTATTCCAAGCTTGTGTTCATGATTGCCAAAGTCATTTATTGTCATCCATGATGGCTGTGTCCTCGCTAGGTAAATCTACCCGTTTCCTCTTCATTATGATTATTTTGGCGGGAAACCTTGTTACCATTTTGTCACTTAATGTTTATCGTCTGCTTGATCTAATTTTCATGTTTAGGGGACAGAAACAAAGCACCCAGTGTTCACGATGGTGTGGGAAAAAATGGGCAGATGTTTTTTTCATGACACTTCGCTCGGAGACAAGAAGAGGACTCATGACACTAATGATGCGTATGACGTAGCCTTGAATCGAGACTTTCACACGCACAATAAGCTTCCTACCTCCTTGGTTTGTTCGAGGTTTAAACATTTACATCCAACATTGAAAATGGAGATTGTTATCTGACGGGTAACCACATGCGTATAGTCACGATTTTCCAAGATGGTTGACGCCTCTTGTCAGAATATAAACTTGGGTTCATGAGTTTCCCAAGCGAATGAAGCATACGAGGACAATTTGTTACATTATTTTTTATTTTAGTGACAGAGTGCGTATGTAGTATTCTTTTCAAATAGCCCTTTCGATTTAATTTTGTCAAAACTAGATTCGGTAAGGAATATGCAAAGAGACTACTGAGCTGCCAGAAAATGGGGTGACTGTTACCTGAATCTGACTGAGGTTGGGGGGGGGGGGTTGTATCTTAAACGAGAGTCGTGCGATGATGAACAGTAATGAGGGGGGGGGGATAAGATAGCATAAGAAGGGGGTGGAGGGAGGAAGAGGAGGTGGAGGAGGAAGAAGAAGAGGAGGAAAGGTAGGGAGTCGGGATAATAGGAAGGACGAGGGATGATAATGATTGGTAAACCGAGAGAAAAATAAGCCGAGAGGGTGATAGGTAAATCTTCTACTCTTAAATGTAGCGTTTTATATGTTCTGAGAGGGAGAGAGAGAGAGAGAGAGAGAGAGAGAGAGAGAGAGAGAGAGAGAGAGAGAGAATGAATGAGAGAATGAGAAAGAGATAGGGATGCATCCAAAGGGGCGATGTGAGGGGGGGGGGGTGTCTCATTGAAATCTAAATGCCCCGTTAGTTCACGTTTTAAACGTTGATGGCGGAGTTCTATAATTCCCCTTCAGTCAAAGTCAAGTTCATCCCTGGTTTGCCAGGCTCGTAAGATGTGGGGGGGGGGGGGGGAGAATTGTCAGACAATTTGACTGGTACAAGCGTGCAAGCGAACATGTTTGTATTTATTTACATATATTATCTTTACTTGCTTGTCAGAAAAAGCGTTCACGTAAAAAGAAGATTACCTCTGTTCGTTTGTTTGTTTGGAGGAAGGGATGTTTATTTAGAGGCTTGTCAGAGAATTTCGGACGATTGAAGAAAAATAAAGATTTCCGATCATGCGCGCAATACCTCGCACTCACCCCCCCCCCCCCCCTCTCCCTTCAAAAAGCTTTGAGAGATGCCATGACTTTTTAATACAGCTTATCTATCTCATCAAAATAATAAATTTTACGAACCTAAAGTGAACGGTCCAAAGCGAAATCCTAAGAGCATTTGGCAGGGCATTTTTAACAGAGAATTAAAAAGCAAGGGTAGGGGTAAATATCAAAATAACGCACAATTCATAATGATCATGGCCCGACTGGAAATGGCGGTATCCGGATGATTTGATTCTGAAAAAGTAAAGAAGCCTATAATAACTTGATTTTATATTTCATTCTCCGGTGTCATGTGCCCTATGTAAACAAAATCTACCCCAAACACTATCAAGAAGGCAAAAAGAGAGAAAGAAAGAAAGAAAGAAAAACAAAGAAAGAAATAATTTCATGTCGCCGCTTATTCTAACATACTCGGACCGCAAAGCGTTCTCCTATTCTTTTCCTCGCTATAAATAGAAACAGTTACTTAAAGTGTTATTATATACGTCAACAATGGCCACAGGTGCTCAACAGAAGCAAGTGTCTTTCTCGTTTCATCCCTTTGTGAGCCAGGTAAACAATTAACCGAGGTCCTAAACAGTAGCACCCGTTTGTAGCACCAAAAATTACCAGTGCGAGACACGTTAACAGCACATAGTTTACCCGCGTTACATAGCAACTACAGAGCGGGCAGGTAATCGGCTGGTATTTCTAGTGCCCACCCTCCCTTAACCCTGGTCTCGCAAGGTTAATATTCGATATCAAAACATATATTTTTACGAAATTCTTCCTTACTTATGATGAAATAATATGTAAACATATTAAAGAAAGCAATTTAATGTATTGGAAAGTGATTTTTTGTTATAAGATTTGTAACCTATTTTTGAGTATGTTTAATGCTAGGAGAGGGAGGTGAAAAGTTAGAAGAGATCACAATACACAGACGGTACGGACCCTATCCCATCCGTGGTGTGTAGGCAAGCGTGAAGAAGTATTACCCCTCATTTAATGAGGAATTCAAGGGATACTCGTCATGATTTAATTATCCGTGGAAGACGTTATATCGACTACCAATCGTCATTCTAACTTAATTTTGGAATTAATCAACCTTGGAGAAACTGGAAGGAATATAGTGTGAGCCAGATTAACTGAATCATCAAAACAAGCAATAATTTCTTCAACGAAACAACAGATTTGTAGCTGCGACGAACAAGCGAACGCTCGTCCGGTCGCGGTCTATGACGTTTTCGGAGCTGGTTTCGAGGTTTGTTTGAAACTCATCCACTCAAGTTGGATCTCAAATTGATATCATGAATACATAACCATGTAATACTTTATTAAGGAATAAATAAAATAGTCGGGACAGATTGATGGTTTTCGCGAAAACGATGCCTGTGAAGGGGCACTCGTACGCCCAGTCGAAATCAGCTCCAGTCAAGTCGCATGAAGCCGTCAACGATATTTACCGTACCGCGGCGGCGGGCGGACACTTCCCGGAGTTCTGGCGGTGAAAGAGGATGGCGTACTCCATACCAAGCCCCTGCCGCTGAAGTCGCATCAAGGTCTACAAATTCTTGCACGATCAGGCAGCCATTATAACTGCGCCTCACCGGCGAGGGAAGATGTTTTTCATGATAATTATGCCCGAAGAACAAAACAGCTGAATGAACAAGGTTATAATTCTGTAAATCATAAACCTTATCAGGTTTTAGGAGGACCAGTTGTTCTGGATGAAAAACAGCTAATTCTCTCGGCGCTAGGTCAACTCAAACAGAATGTAAGTACTATCAACTTTCCCCCTTAATCCATATTCTCTCTTGAAATAAATATACGCTTAGTTTGTTCTCTAATAAACAGTGAAACAGGTCAAAATGAATGAGTATAATTTATATTTAATCTAACAGACACATGCAATTGATACTGAAAATGAAGGAACAGCAAAAATATGATTTTTCAAAGTTTACTCCTTGCAGGATTCTAATGAATTAGAGTTTTTATATATTAAAGAACGAACCAAAATGAGTAATAAAACCTTAAATCAGTGGTCCCAGTGGTCATCATTTTACCTATATAAAGCTCCACTAAAGTCACCCAGCCAGCAGTGGCTTACAATGTTCATAGATCAGTTAGAACAAGAGGCTTACTCCTGAAGATGACAAGGTTTTTTCAACTCATTTCTTTTCTCCTATTTAATGCGAGTACACTACTTGTTAATAATTGTATCGTAGTAAAGTTACCACACTTTTATAAATATATATTCATTATGATTATTATGCATAATGCATATATTGTTTGTCAGTTTCTGGTGCAAAGGGAAGCAAGCTGGATTTCAGCAAACAAAACACTAGTCATGGTAAACATTAGCTATTTTTTGGCAGTTAAAAAAAATTATTTAGCATTCTCAGAGGATGGTTATTCAATCATATAGAATCATCATGTCATGTTAATTGATAATAAATAAATTAAATAATTGCCTGTAATAAATTTTTATGTTTCTTTCCAGAACTCATCTGCATCCAAGTCAAAGGGTGTGTCCAGTGAGAAGGAGGATGACCAGAGCAAAGATGGTCAAGGTGGAGATGGGGCGGAGGAGAACCCTGCTGCGGTCAAGCCGTATAAGTTTGTGGTCAGGAGGAACAACAACAGCCATAAGTCTCTTCATAAGGAGGTGTCTACTGGCAGGTGAGTACTGTTGTACAGCACATGGAAGTGTGGTAGTTAAGAACCCATTGCACTAGTCGTGTAAGAGTAGGGGGAAACCCCGGTGTAATGGTCCACCTGCATACCCAACCAGGCCGAGTATACGGCATCTGCAAGAATCTTCAGTATTGAAGGAAGCAGATTATCTTGAAGAAGAAGAAGATATAGTCGGTCATTCACTTGACTGACTCTCAAAGGGTTGAGGGTTTGAATCCCAGCCTGGCGTTAACAACTTTTGGCAAGACACTCGGCATTTGCCACTCTCCACCCAGGTGTTAATGGGTACCAGATATGCTTGTGCGGTACATATTTCGCCCCTTCGGCTATAATTGGGTTAATAATGTTGTATAGCTTCAGGAGCATCACAGCATGATGGACATGTGCATTAACAAGAAGCCGCCATTGTTATAATAATTATTATTAATTTATACGCTTTGCTACTTTTCTTGCACTAAGCAAATTAATACTTCTAACTTAAATTAGGAACCAGCGCAACACAATACCTAACCCTGATCTTGGGTAATAATATCGAAAGCAATCTTGAAGCAAATGGGGACATTATTACATCATACCATTCTGTTTAATGTGCTATACTATACTGGAATGTAACATAATATTAACTGATAGTATTTTTTTCCTATTCTTTTACCAGAGTGATGGTGAAATGTGCTAAACTGGGTCATGGGGTCTTCACAATGATCAGAGAGCAAGAGGAACTAAGGGTAAGTTTCTCCTTTTTTTGTCATAAAAAGTTAATTGGCATCCAGAAAGTTAAAAAAAAATTGTTTGATATACCCTGTACATTGTACCCATTGAAATTTTGACCAATAATACTGTCTGTCTAGAGCCAGAATGCATTGAATCATATCATTTTACACAAAGTTATGGCTCCTCTAGCTTCATTTCAAATGATTGTTCCTGTACAACATTTATCATAGATGATATTATTTAAGTTCTGAATGATTGTTCTCCTACAACATTTCTCATAATTGATTTTTTTTTTTCATTTCAAATGATTGTTCCAGTTCAACATTTTTTTCCCTCATGGTTGATATTTTAATTTCAAATGATTGTTCCTGTATAACATTTATCATACATTGTTCCAGTACAATATTTCTTGTAGATGATATTATTTGATTTTTAGTGATTGTTCCCGTACAACATTTATCATGGATTGTTATGTTCCCATACAAATTTTTGATAGATGATATCATTTAAATTCTGAATGATTGTTCCCGTACAACATTTATCATAGATGATATTTTAATGTCAAATGATCGTTCCCGATATATAGGTGAATGCAGAACACAATGAGAGAAGGAGAAAAGAAGAACAAAGGAAGACAGAATGGCAACCAGCTGTTGTCGTAGTATCAGATGGAGAAGAAACAGATGAAGAGCTGGAGAAAGAAGAAAGTCTTAGGTATGCTTAAAGTCCCACTGCGCTACTTATAGCTACTTGCGCCCTCTATATAGCAAACAATGCCTAATCGGTGACCGTTGGTCACCCATGGTCCCCTTTTTCTTATGTTTATTGAGAGCTGATTTGATGAGATCACCACCTGTCAGTGACCATGCAGGGAGGTCTAATCCCTCCTGGCCAAACTAGTGCTGATAGGCTTTAAAGCCTTTACTTTTGCAAGGATTTTGTTTTGCAAAGTTGTAGAATTGGGGTAGGGACACTAATCTAACAACAGCAATTACATGAAATTAAGCTGGCAATGCATGTGCAACCATGTAATGTAAACATAGCCTCTGATCATGCACAATTGTCTTGTGTCATTGTCATTTGGAAATGGATGTATGCTATTCAGCTTAATGGATAATATCTTATTTTAGATTTGAATTTCATGAAGTAAATTAAACTTGTTGACAATCCTGTCATGTAATAATTCGTTTTATAATGTATAATATCTTTCATTAAAGATGATAATCATGTTTGTCATGTTTAATGTGTTTCTATGTTTGTATTTCAGTGTTTATATGGCTCAGGGGGCAGAGAGCAGAAAAGAAGTGTCTTTTGCATTGTAAGTATAGTCATGATCGTAGGTAAATAAGGTGGTGTGACATACTGTCCCCCTTCCCCTCAAGAATTTTGAAAATGCCACTGTAAGGGCTATGTTGACCTTATATCTAAGGAGTGAGGTGTCTTATTAATGTTTATGATAAACATTTTCATTATAAACTTTCAAAATTGTTGTTAATTTGCAAATTGTTCCGGTCAAGATACTGTACATGTTGCAACATTTTAAAAACATCCTTATTAATTGTCCATGTGATATGAGAAAATTGTTACACTTCTCTACGTTCATTCGCTCTCCACATATGATATATAATGTGCAATATGCTCTTAACAAATTGATATAATTTTTTGTTGTATTTGTTTATTACAAGCCTCAGCTCAATATAAATGGCCTAAAACTGGTGAAATTTGTATTACAAATTTGTACCCATATGAGTAAACATTAAATTGTAGATATGTGATGTAAGCTAGCTAGGTATCAAATTCTTCCAACATTTCTTCTCTTTTAAAAAACATCCTTGATTCTTGTCCATGTGATATTAGGAAATGTTCACACTCCCCTATGTTCATTCACTCTCTACATATTATATATAATGTGCAATATACTATGCACTCAACAAATCGATTTTTTTGTTGTATTAGTTTATTACAAGCCTCAGCTCAAAAGTTTGTATTACAAGTTGGAACCCATAAAGTATACATTAAATTGTAGATATGTGATTTAAGTTATCCAGGTATCAAATGCTTCCAACATTTCTTCTATACACAGCGATGCAGCAAGTACTACAGCCCCTGACAACCTGACAACAGAGCAGGGTGATGCAACTCGTCTCTCCACCGCCGCCATGACAACCACTGCCATGGCAACAACACCATCCAAATCCATCCTGAGCGGGGCGTCGTCACCCACCAAGAGGAGGCGGAACAAGCGACTGGTGGAGCCGGCACGCCCTTACACTCCCTGCCATACCAACATCAATATTGATCCGGAAGGAGATGAAACGGACAAGTAAGGCTTGTTAATGATAATCAATAATGATGATAATATGGTCTTTTTTTCTATCCAATGTACAAAGTATATAGGTTTGCTTGGACAAAATATTTGTTTCGGTACTTGAGCATAATTGATATATATGTAAAGTTCAATTGAGGACATTATTTTGTTGTTCTGATGGCATTAAACAGAAGATCCTTATATTTTCACTGTCATGCTTGCAAGTTCAGTCAAACAATTTCATAGTGCTTGGACGAAATCCTTGTATGATCAATTTACATAAAAACTGTATGAGGTACAATCCAGGCATTTGTTTCGTTCTGATGACATTAACATTGAGAAGTCTTTAACGGAAGACCATCTTGTTTTGATCGATACAGGAAAGCCATATTTCGTCAGATGTGTGCCGTGAACTGGATCCTGGAAGCCATGATGATAGAGCCCCCTGCCGCCATGGAAGCCATCAGTAAATGCTGGAAGATCAAATACAGGTAGGAGCCAATCTTTGTGAACTGAACCCTACAGTGATAATCACATGTGACATGGTATACTGCCTCTAAAATTTACCATGGCAACATTGAAACCTTTAACATGTTTAATAGCAAATGGCAAGTGAAGGTTAAAAAAGAAAGAAAAAGTGCCCCTATTGAAGTCTTGTACTGTTATGTGTATCATAAAATACAGAATTTCATACACTAACCAAATTCTTTTCTTCAATCGTGGACCTCCCGTATATCTTTGATGAAATGCTGCCTGTTTAATGTTTAATAGCAAATGGCAAGTGAAGGTTAAAAAAGAAAGAAAAAGTGCCCCTATTGAAGTCTTATACTGTTTTGTGTATCATAAAATACAGAATTTCATACACTAACCAAAATCTTTTCTTCAATCGTGGACCTCCCGTATATCTTTGATGAAATGCTGCCTAGACTAGTTGTTGCCAGAACATATATATGTTAGAATATCGAAACACATACATGTACATCTCTATGTGTATATTATTCATTCAAAGATTTAGTTAGAATTTCACTAACTTCTTATGTTGTTTTTTTGTGTGTGTAGGGATATGGAGAACAGATCATTTTGTAAGACCACTATTCAGAGATTGAGGAAAGATAAGGCGTTGGACACGAGGTGGAATGCGTTCATATCAGCTGAGGGTGCGGGTCATCTGGTAAGAATCATTATATTGTGTTCACATGTGATCATGTTGCTCTTCCCTAAAGTGCCCCACGCTTTCCTCTTGTAGTAAATTAGACCATGTACAATATTTGTTAATGTTACTTTGGCAGCTTTAGTACGTAGAATATATTAGCGCCACAGCTGATAGATATTTAATGTCCTCTCCGAGAGACAGAACGGACGTAGTGTTTTTTACCGTAACATAGCCTGCATGTATGAGACATGGGAGGAGCATTTTAACACAAAACATAGGTTCGTTCATCTGCTTGGGTTGGATTTGAACCCATGACTTTGATTTGATAGACAGGCGCTTCTACTGACTGAGCTATCTTGTCTCCCTCCGGTTGATAGCTTTTTTAAATGTTGAATAAATGCATAAGTAGTTTAGATCTTAAAGCAAAGCTTGCATGATTATTAGCATGTTTGTAATATTTCATTGCCTATTCCTCATTGTATTGTTCTTCAATTGCACGTGCCTGAATCATGGATCAACAAATTAAGTCCTATAAGTTTATAATAATAGTAATAATGTAAAATATTTAGGAATGCTAAATATATATATATATATATATATATATATATATATATCTGTGGCATGTTGATTCTCCCTCGTGATATATTTATCGTCACCATTATACAACATTCCCCTTTTAGTGATATATATGTGTGGCATGTACTTTCCCCTCATACTATATGTTTACAGTATTGTCATTATTATTATTATACGTCATTCCCTTCTTCACCCCTCTCCCCCTGCTGCCCCCTCCTCAGGCTGGCTTGCCTAGTGTATTCCAGGTAAAACATGTTTTATGCTGTGAATGTGTTTGTACTAACTAGTACCGGTACATGTAGTGTGTCATTTGCATGAAACTAATACTATCACATTGCATGCTGTTGAAAGTTAATTCTCTAGAAAAATGAAAGACTGTCAATTTCCTGCATGTAAAACATCTTCTTTTTGCTAAGAATTTTGTCATCTTTTTATTTACATGTAGATGTTCTTTCTTTTCCGGTCAATTGAATACATGGTAAAGGATGTGTGGAAAACTTCCAAGACTGTCAACTTCTTGCATGTAAAACGTCTTCTTTTTTTTGCTAAGAATTGATGGTTTGTTACGGAAGGTTGAGAAAATTACAATGCAAAGAAATTCAGCTAGTTGGGAAAGCTTTTGGCAAGATTCAGACAAAAAGTTAGCACATATTAAGGCTATTCAAGTGCGTACAATTTCATTCATGGTCACAACTTGCTATGATTATGAGAAGGGAAGCCATTTTGATTGATTTTGTGTTTTGTTTCAAGCACTGGAAAGGTAAATAAAGAAAAGAAGTGTTTCCATTCCATGTGCCAAGTACAAGAAAATTTGTGTGGGGTTGTAACATACATGATGTATGTATGTCTTTGTTTTGGTAATCTGTTTGACCATAAATGTAGGACTTTGCACATTATATGTACACTTCTCTTTAGCATGTCTACCTATAAATGTTTTATTGTGTGCTTCTTGCGGTTGGGAAAACACATCCTTTTCTTTTTAAGATTAGTTTTTATCGCATGCATCTGACAACATTAAATTGCTAATGGGTTGGATTTATGATGATTATGGTGATTATGGTGATTTATAAGTGATCAATCAAATAGTCTTGGTCTGAAATTTCTCTTAATTTTTTTGCTTGCATGCACCCTTTCATCTAAGAACTCTTGTCATTTTTGTACGAACCTTATCACTTATATTAACTGAATTGTTTTGAACTTTTCTTTTGGGGGTATTTTTCTCTGACATTTCACATTACATTTTTTGCTTAAACAATTGTTGAAAAAAAATGTCCCTTAATCTCAAAAGCAGTTTCCTATTTTTCTAACAGTTCTTGTTTATTTTTTGTTAATGCGATCACTAATATTAACTCACTTGTGATGAATGTCTTTCTGCATACAGTTAATGTCTTAAGACATTGCACATAAAACGTTTGTCTGTAAATTTTTTGATAATGTTACTTATTCTAAGAAGATTTTTTACCCTAAAAATGTATTTAGTTACAGTGAATTTTTTTGCTGATATTGTAAATCAGTGGACTATAATAAACTCAACCCATTTTATTCTTTGTAAAGTCATAAATATGGGTACTGGCCAATGAGTGCAGTAAGGGTCTCAATAACAAACGTAATTGGTTAACCATCCTGACAAAGACCCATATTATTTTCTCCATTAACATTAAAGCCCCTCTGCACTAGTTTGGCCGGGAGGAATTAGACCTCCCTGCATGGCCACTGACAGGTGGTTATCTCATCAAATCAGCTCTCAATTACCATTAAAAAAAAGAGACCAATGGTCACCGATGAGGCATTGTTTGCTATATATATGTAGAGGGCGAATGTAGCTATAAATAGTGCAGTGGGGCTTTAAAACTCAATATTCTACAACATTTAAGTCACTCTATTTATCTTTCATGTATTTATTTTTTCACAGAAATCTCGCTCTCCTGCAAGGGGCTTGCTGTCTACTCAAAACTCAGGATTTACGAGAACGCTGCGTCGTCTGTCGGCAAACAGCACCGTCAACCGGGCGGCGTCGGCGATGGGTCACAGTTCAGTTGACCAAAGTCCTCTATCACCCAAGGCCGAGGATTCCGCCAGTTCATTCTTAGAGGCTGCTGATAAATGTAAGAAATAACGACGGACATTTTGCAGTTTGTTGTAGCACGGAGGTGTTGTGGTCTTGCGGATAAGTCACCAGACTATAGATCACTAGGTCTGGGGCACTGATTCCCTTTGGCAAGATGTTTCATCTACATTTGCCACAGTCCATCCAGATCTGTACCTGACAGTTTTTAGTATTCTAATTGTGCAGTTACTCTGATGGCTTGACTATAACCGTGGTAATAACATTGAGAGGGCCATGAGCATCAGAGTAATAATAATAAGTGGGGAGGGGTTTCCAAAGTCAGGGTACAGCAGGAGTACATCCATCTCCTCTTTGTTCTGGGTTCTTTAAGCCTTGTGGAAACAGAGCAACTCAGACCTGTAAGTATAGTAGTTGAAATGAGATGAAGATGAAACTGGAAAATATACGATGAGGCAAGGTTATGAAGTGAATGGTAGTTTAGCAGTAACATTTTATATTCATATACTGTACCATGATGGCTATAAAAATCCTTTTGACGACATTGCTGTGCAGTCTTGTCTGATTTTCATCATTGTGCTTTCCTCTCTTCTCACACAGTGGCTGATATTCAAGACAGTGTTTCAATACAGGGCAAGCATGAGGATGGTAGAGGGGACACACCAGGGAAACTGCAAAGGTGAGAGATTGAGCTTAGCATAGATGTACTTACTGTTTACAGGTCGTAACCCTCACAACAGTAAACAAAATAATAATAATAATTGAGAAATATGGCTTAAGATTGTAATTCTTAAAATGACACTAAATTTAATACAAAGAAATGTCCTTCTGTATTTATTTTTCCAATTGCCTTTTCATTTATCAGAAAATATTACATGTAATCTATAGTTTCTATGCTCTGATAATATCTACTAACTTCGGAGTTGTACTTTGAATTGTAATCACTGAATAATTTTATGGTATGTTACTAGCTAATTGTATGGATACATTTATGTCAATGTATATCTTGTTGTCAGAACACACTTCAAGATATTCCAAGCATCTGGACATATTAGTTACTGACTTGAGTACAGTGATAAGCAGTTGAAGTGTGCTAATAATATACATAATTTGTTTGCTGTACATATAATATAACTTTCCCAGTCTTTTAGTATCCATTTTAATATTTACACATATTTCAAGATCTGTGGAAGATATCTATATTATATATCCAGCAAATGAAGAGAAACATATTTTTTCCCTCATAACTCTTATAACTAAAATATTCATCTCTTCCACCATTTAGGTCTCCCTCTGTTTTGAGTGACAGAACAGCAACTCCCTCATCAAAGAGAAGTGGATCAATTGTCAATAAATTATCTGTAAGTATCAAACCTTACCTCGTCAATGGCGCTGCTTTGTGTATTTCACTTCGCTGATACAGAATGATTAGGCTATGAAACTCTTCGTTTTGAATCCATCATGACTGCACATAGATAGTTAGCTGTTGTATAAATACTTACCTGCTGATTTCTGTTTTCTTGTGCAGTTAAAAATGTTTAGCCTTCTCTTAGTAGTGCTCTTTCTCCTTGGTTTCTGCCTTGTGTCTTGAGGAAAGTTTACTCATACCCTTGTAGCCCATTTAAGACAGCATTCCATGGTTTATGGATTAGCAAGTTAACTTTTGATTTATTCCTATCAGCACAGACAAGGAGCAAAATATTTGCACAACATGTGTCAATAATGGGTGCCAAAGAAAATATCATTTGATGCAATAAAATTTGGAAAATGGAAAATACTGTAAGCATTGAAATCTGCAAATTGGCAATGCATGGGAAAGTTTCTACTAATTTATTTTCCACACACATTTGCACATCTTATGAGTTTTGTATGAGGAAGTGCTGCCAATTTACTGAAGAAGAGCTGATTCTTCTCGCCTTGAAAATTTCCTGTCCTTGATGGATCATAAGGGATGGCAGCGGTGGGATATTAACCATTAATGGCAAAATGTATGAACATTTCTTGCACAAAAAATCTCTTGTTTTATGCGAATTAGATATTTTTTAACAGACCAAAAATCATATGGAACATTTTTACTTGAATTCAAAGGGATCCATTGGAAATATGAAATTGATGAAATCATTTTTTGACCTATATTATTAATATTAATATATTTTTTAATAGAAACATGACTTAGAGGAGAAAGACAAGCAAGAAAGACCAAGAGAGAGGCAGGTTAGCACATGGGTGGCCACAACTAATAGAAAACTGCACCGGTCACAAAGGTAAGATAACAGTTTTAATGTACATTCCTAAGGTTCCTATTCAACTATCCAAATGATAAAAGTAGAGTAGATAATGAAGGAAAAATATCCTGAACTTTGTTTTTACTCTTTAGTGTCCTGGATTGGAGATCAAGTAGTCTGATTGATTTGTCTTATCCTTCCAATATGTACAGGCGTATGTCAAATCATCAAAAAATAAATTGGTGTGAAAACATCTTTATTGCTGGCAAAATAATTACAGTTATGGTAATATGATTCAAATACTATGTACTGTATATAAATATATTATATAAAAATGAAAATTCTCAGGTAATAATATTATCATAGCGCTATTTCAGTATTTCCATATGATTTCGATTGAGCTAGTTGTAATTTAAGAACTGTGATATAGAAAAGAAAAAAGTGCCTGGTTGACTGTATCTCTTCTTGATATGAACAGTTTTATATTTTGAACATTTCGTTGTTTTCATATTTGACCTTTGACATTTCCCCTTTCAGTGCTCCGATTAGAAACCAGGAGTTCAAGCCAATCTTTCCAAGCCGGAAGCATCTCTACCTAGCCAAGGAGCTCAGGACTCAGTTTGCAGACGTCACTGAAGACCAAGCACTCATGCTTCACGATAAGCTAGAAGCCATGGAAAAGTGAGTAGCTGAAACTTCTTGCTCTTTGTCTCACATTTGTCTCTTTTTTTTCCTGCTTGGAATGTTTATATTCTTGCCCCTCCTGTTTTTTTACTTCTCCTTCCTCTTTTTCTCTTAAATATTTCTCTCCGACTATTTGTGAGATTCTTCATATCTTGTCCTTATGTGTTCATGCACATGCACTCCATAATTTTGATTATCCTCCTTCATTTCACATGGCCTGTTTGAAAGCATAGAAAAAGAGAAACAGTAAACGTTCACAGTGTATATTAAAGGGAATCGCCCTCCCATTCCTCCCACCCACCCCTAGGATTCTGCTTTCTTGTTTATAAGTTTCTGGACACGCCATGATCTATGAAAACCTGATATATGTTTATTAATGGTTTTCATCTTCTTCTTCTTCTTCATCCACTCTATCGGATATGATATTTACATTTTTGTCTCAGATTATTATGTACACTTTCTTTTCTAGTTTCAAAGAACATTCATTTCCTCATTGGTACAATCTTCTTTCTTTAAAAGTATCTCTGATAATCCCTACTGGGTAATCTTATTTTTCATCTTTTCTCTATTTTGTCTTTTAATCATACCTTTTAAATCATCTCCTCCATTTTAAAGTTGGCTTAAAGTTGTACAAAACTGACTAGCCCTTCTGCAACCATGAAGCTGTATTATGTTTTCTGAGAAAGGCTCTGTGCAACTGTAAAGAAAACATGGGCATTTAAAAATAATTCAATTTTACTTAGCTGATTGTTGCCTGTAGAGGACAGCTACTTATGAATTCCTTCTCTTGTCTGCCTTTTTCAGGAAACGACTTGAAAGGAGCGAGAACAAGTTCCAATCGATCCGCACCAACGTTCACATCAGCTCTCAGCTGGCTCTACTCAAAGAAGCCGGGCAAGACAAAGATGAACTGCTAGCAGAAGAAAATAAACGAAAGAAGAAATTGGAAGATGAAAGCAAATGGTTAGTAAAATGAGCTCTCTTGGTTGAATCAGTGCATTGAATGTTATGATTATTTTGGGGTCTTAAGCATTATTTGTTTTAATCTTACAGAAATTAACAACGTGTAGCATGTGACATATGATACAAGTATAGGAAGATGAAAAACTACACTGTAGATTAAGGTCCCTAATGGGTTGGGTTCATCTCATGTTGAAGCTGCTGTTAGTAGTATAAATATAAAATATGGAGGGGCAAGAACATAAAATTACAAGCAAAACAGAAGGTGCAGGAATCGTCTGTTCCTAACTTTTTTCCTGGCTGCCAGTTCTATCTTACGAAGCTTGAGTCCTGAGATCTTAGGCTAGGTAGAAATGCTTACAGCTTGGAAAGTTAGGCTTGAAAATCCTGGTTATTAAGTGAGCACTAAAAGGAAAGTGTTAAACACTACTTTTCTCTCTAACCATGCCCGCAGGTACCAAGAGTTGGTGCGGAACCTTCCAGCCGATATCAGTAATGACAGACCTTGCATGGCCATCCTGGACAAGCTACAGAGCCTTGGGAAGATTGAGAGTAGGAAAGCAACACCGCAAAAGTTCCTCAATGTCTTAGCTGGTCTCAGGCATTGGGAGATCTGTTCACCAGACATAAGTGCAGCTATAGAGGTAATTCACTTATATATTTTATTTCCAAGATGATAACAATACATAGAAAACATAATTAAACAGAGTTTTGAAGTGGTACAACATATGCTTCTGCAACAATCTCCACAGTCACCTTCCTACACTACCGAATTCTTAATTTTAACCCTAACTTTAAATGTAGCCTAAACTAAAGCCCTAATAGTATACTATTGATGACATAAATCTCAGAGCAAATGTTAGATCACCTTATCTGTTAGATAACATGTCCATAGAATTATAGGCTTCATTGTTATGTTTGCTTCCTTATAGAGTGAACTTTCTCTTTCAAATGATCAAATAGTAAATTTATCCTTAAATGTGGGTGAGAATGTTTATTTTTTTTTGTTATATCCCAAAATGATATGACAGGTTGAGGGAAGGCAGGGTGGGCAGTGAGGGTAAAGCACATTCAACATCAGCTTCCCTATCCCTTCTTACTATTTATATACATATCTAGTATCATTCATGATTTACACGTACAGTTTGTAGTAATCTTTATTCTCTGTCTCTTTCACAGTTTGTTCGAGAGAAGGTTGTTGGGATGGCTGTAGAGGAGTTTGAGGCCTGGTACCAGGCTGAGATGCCCAACATCGCTCGATCCAAGAGTGCCCCACCTGCTACGACATGATCTCATCATTCAAGGAATAAAGATTTGCCCTCCCCCCTCCTTCCTTCTCACCTTGGAGCAGATTTGAAGCATGAAGTTTGTCTCATTGGCATTTGATATCAAATTAGAAACTCTTGTGACTTGACACTTTGATCATCAATCATAAAAGATGATCCTCTTCATAGCAAGAAAATTCATAATAATTGAAAAATTCAGTATTGTGAATCATAATTTACAGCATGGAACTTCTGATAACCTTGACCATTCGCAAAATTGATCCACTTTTGGGGTTTAACAGTAATCAGAAGCGGATTCAAAAGAAGTGACACTACTGCCCAACTGGAAATAGAATGGAAGACAAAGATAGATTTCTGTAAATGGAAATTATGTAATTATTTATCTGCATTTTGAGAAATCAGAGAAAATTGCAAAATCTGGACCACTTTTAGAATTCATCTAAATTTCTAGTTTTACAGTATTTAGAAGGAGAAATAGTGTTTGCCCAACTTCCAATTGAGAAGCAACAAAGTAGAGAATTCTAGAAATGGATGTTCAGCCATTTTGTATCTGCAGTGTGGGGACACCAGGAAGTATTTGAGAATCAAAGAGTGCCTTTGGAAATATCCTTCTTCTGTTTGAACTTCTAAGATGAGGGGTGAAAAAAATCCCTTGTTCTTCTATAGTGCAATGATATAGTGAGGACCAGAGAGGTGTTATTGATCTCATTACGTCTTTGGATTTTGACATGCGTGTATATGATATATCTACTGTTATACATGAAAAGAATCATGTGAAGTAGAAAGATCATGTGACAGTAAATATTCTTACTGATGCATAAACCTAATGGTATTAAATTTCACCTTTAATTCAACTTGTAGCAAAAAGAGAAGAAGAAATAATCATAATCGTGTTATCTAAACTGAAAATTGAAAACTGAAATGTGTGAATTTGCAAATGATGGTGCATTATCTGAATTTTCAATCAAAATGTAATATATCATATGAATGTGGATCAGAAAGGACTTCTGGGTATGAACATACTGCAAAGGCAAGTGTTTCTTTTCTTGATCAAAGACCAAAGTATATCAGACAGAAGAGTGTTTATAAATTTCTTTTGATAGTAATGGTAACCAAAAAAATAATATTAAAAGAGATCTTTTTTATAATGCTGAAGTTAAAACAGGGTATAGTATGTTTTATACAACACCTACGTGGATCCTTGTCATTTGATTGGACAATTGTTGGTCACATGATATTCAATAGATGGTATATTGCACGGTCGTGCATTTTTGGTTATATGCGCCGTGCATTTTTGGTTATATGCAGACTGCGTACCTCTCTGCTGCATGTGCGCGTATCCCTGCGTGTACCTGACGCGAAGGCAATCTGCATGTAATCGAGATCGAGAAGGCTCGACTCCAACTTTAATTTATCTTTATAAGGAGTAAAGCAAAATTTGTTGATTAACGTTCTATTAGGTCTTCTTCGATGTTGTATAAAGCAAATAATGAATGTTTTTCATTCGTTTAATAGTGCAAATATGTTCATTCGTTGAAAGATTAACGTTAATTCTATTCAACTCGGCTGACGCCTCGTTGAATAGAATGTTAATCTTTCAACTCATGAACATATTCGCACTATTGAACTCATAACCATTCATTATTTGTATAATAAATGATGCACCTTAAATCTAGTTTTTTTTTTTTTGTAAGTAAAAGTAATATTTTCTCATGTCTTTTTCTGTACAGACACAAGAGTTCATCATGCTAAAGAGAATCGTATTTTTATTAAAAATTGTAAACTCCATCATCATGTTTCTTTAAAAGTATATATATATATCACCTTTAATATATGAAAGGTCCAATTATTGGAAAGCTGTATGCTGATTTGAAACGTGTGCTAAGACACTTTTAAAAGTGCAGTACAAGAGTCTGTCACATAAGGTTTACTGTAAGCTAGTTTTCTATATGATACACTTCCAAACAGGGTTTACGCTGAATATAAGACAATTATGCAAGCTGAAAAACTGAGTAGTAGTCGAGTAAAGAGAGACAGATTTGCTCTTGGTGTAAGGGGTTATAGGTTGATTTTATACTTGCTACCTATACACAATTTATTATTTTCAGATAATTGGTACACTTGAATGATGTGCAGAATGGCATTATAGTTATACTTATAAATCAAGGCATTGGTATAAGGAAACATTACCAACTTAACCACATGCTTTCCAGTATAAATATATGCAATGATATGAACAAGATTTGCTGCTCTTAGAAGCAATTTTTTAGGATTTTTCAGTGGTAATAAATCAATTTTTGCAACGCTTGGCACCTTGAAGTTGGTTTTAATAAGAATTTAATCATGCTTTCCATTTTGAAATGCAATTTTTTTTCTACTTTTATAGAAACATTTTTTTCTTATATAATAAAGGAACAGAGCTATTAAAACAAAAAACAAATGAATATCTTGTCTCTCTTAGAGCCTGAAGGGCATTATAATAGCCTTATTGCTCTCAATCAACATACAATACATGTATGTACTATTTTTCTGTTACATTTAAAAAAAGAGAAAGTATACCTGTACAAATATTTGTTATACTAATGCAACTACTAGTACCATTGTTTTACTTTTTACAATTTTAAAGATCAAATATTTATGCAGATTTAGATACATATCGAGTATTCTTGGTTAACATATCAATTAAGCTACTTTCCTTTTTTGTTGTGTAACAAGGAAAAAAAAGGATCATTTACTGTTCACTGCACAACTCAAATGTATATCATCAAGGTGAGATGACATTCTCCCCGTTGGAATTGAATGTGAGGGATATTCTAATTCCTCTTAACTCTCTTCATCTGCTACGGATTGAAGTCCTTGACTGCCACATTATTGGGATGATATGTATATGTGACAAAAGACAATTTAGGCAAAACTACATTTTCTCTTTTGGTTTAAAGAGCGCCACTTATGTTGGCTTGTTTCAGCTACATGTACATGCAGTAGGGAGAGTTGTGGAGGTCCACTATGTGTCTCATTAGTTGTTGAAAGCTAGCTGGTAATGAGTTAACTGTATAGTGATTGAAGATGTACTGTATGTACATTATATTTTCAAGTATGGCAGAGTTTTAGTAAATCTAAGGAGTAAATACATGTGTGTGTGTATATATATTGTTTATTTTGAAATGGCTTCCAAGAAAAGAATCTAGTCGACCAAATCAAAGAGTTTTTTCTCCAGGAATGTACAGATGTGCACCTTCTATGCAATAAGTGTGAACTTATCACTGATTGATTGCGGAGAGTGTGCCTGCACTTGTAAATTTTTGAATATTAAACCTCTGAAGGATAACATTGTGCCTCTCACCTTAGGCTTCTATGAGTATAGTTGTAGGAATCAGTGGCAGAGAATGAATAGTTTAAAGTTGATTTGGGACCATCATGCTTACCGTACTAAAAGTGCTTCTGATTCAGAAAATGATGAAATGCATACAAATTGAAATTTAATTCAGTGAATTCAGTCTCAGTAGATGAACAGTATTAGGAACATTTTACACAAAATTGAACTCTCCATAGATATTTTCCCTGAACATTATGAATATGATGACAAAGCAACGTCTTTAAACAAAATAGTATGGTCATATTTTGTACATTATTTTAGAGCTGTAATTAAAAATATCTGATTATGGGTTAGGGTTTTTTCTCAGCAGAGATATAGTACATACTAGAGTTAATTTGCAACTACTTAATTTTTTTTTCTTGAAAGGGGGGGGGGGATGTTAATGTTCATTTTCACCAATATTCTATTCTTGAGATAACAAATGAATCAATGTCAGTTTTGTAGGTAACTCAATCTCCATAATTCTTTGCAATATAATAATTACAGTTTGGAGTTGATGTGAAATCACGTTTGTTGTGATCAAAATGCTGCACAGAGTTCGGGTAATTGTGTAAATAAAAATTACATATATATCTTTCTCTTTTTTGTCAATATGTAATTATGTAACGGTCTTTCAAATATTGTATCAATAACAGCTTATAAGAAGAAACTATATTGCTAGAAAAGATATTCCATAGGGAAAAAAAGTATATTTTGTAAGTCGTAAAAATGTACATCATGTGGCTTGATCTTTCGCTGTAATTTTTGTGTTCTTCCTTTGATGTACTACAAGGAATCTTATTTTTTTTTGTTCATACATAATTCCTATTTTTTTCATGCTAGAATGATAAGTTGGACAGCTATCACGAAAATAATGACCTTTTCTGTATCTAAAGTCTCCAATTTTTTTGTTTAATTCTGTAATCAATGTGTATCAAATTGTAGCAGAGTAAGTATAGTGGAACAATTAATGTACATGTAGTTTTTTTTAACCTTTGTTTTGATAAATAATCATTTAGGAAAATGTTGGACTTGTACATGTAAATTGTAATAATCATCCAAGTGATCTTTTTTACTTGTGGCTGAAATAAAAACAGGGTCTCTATATAAAGAGGAATTTGCTTTAGTATAACACAATAATATCATTATTTTCTACTTTTGTTCATGTATTTTGTCTGTGATAATATTATAGCTAGCCAAATTGTGAATAAAGTCAATATAGTAATTCTCAAAATGTTCATTCATATAATCCTAAAAAGATGGCATTTACAATTCAAATCATTGTATTATATTCTTTTTGTAATGTGGAGCATAAAAATGGTTATGCATGTGATTCTTATATTAGTATAAGATGCTGTTCTTCTTATGTTTCCTTATTTATGTTTAAACTACTTTGGTTAATATGTAATTGACAGTAAATGTTTAGATTCTGAGACACAAATGTTTATGCAAGAATTGTAATATGATAAATTATTTTTGCAGTTCTTGATTTTGTCTTGTACATGTGTGTAATTTGATTTCACTATTTGATCTATCACTCCATCGGACACCACCAAACACAAATAAATACTTTTGCAAGGAAACATATCACATGTGTCTTTTATCATTTGAATTCATTATGACCATTTCCCTTGACGTATAATTATCATCTTGTGTGTATATCTATTCCCTTTAGACCATGCCCCTTGTTAAGATCAACAGGATAGCCTACTTTTAAGAAACTTGTAGAATCTATTCTCTAGAATAGTTTAATAGTTTTCTCCATCATTCTCTCCTCATCATTCGATCTCGATCATTTTCTTTCTCTCCACCATTCTGTTTATCATTTTCTCAATTTATTCCCTCTCTCCATCATTCTCCCCAGCATTCATTTCATTCTCTTTTCATCATTCTCTCCAGCCCATGAAAATAACATTCTTTAATTTGTTTTGCATTAAACTCTACGCAAAATTTGGGGGCTCTTTTATGACTTTCGGGGGCTATTTTGCCTGAGCCCCCGTGTATTTTTTCCCTGATTCTCTCCATTTTAATTTCCATCGACTCTGTCGATCCATTCTCTCCTTGTCATTCGATCTCTCCTTCAAATGTTTAGATCATCATTCTCTTCTCTCTATCATTCTCTCTTTCATTCGATCTTTCCTTTGATTTTCTCTGATCATCATTGTCTTGGTCTCTCTTCCAACGGCCATATCTCCATTTTCTCAGATAATCATTCTCTCAATATTTTTAATTTCTCCATGATTTTCTCCTTTCTCTATGCGTCAATCGATCTCTCCTTCAATTTCTTTTATTTCTCTCCATTATTTTCTCCATCATTCTCTCCATTATTTCATCCATCATTCTCTCCATTATTTTCTCCATCATTCTCTCCATTATTCTCTCCATCATTCTCTCCATTATTTTCTCCATCATTCTCTCCATTATTTTCTCCATCATTCTCTCCATTATTTTCTCCATCATTCTCTCCATTATTTTCTCCATCATTCTCTCCATTATTTTCTCCATCATTCTCTCCATTATTTTCTCCATCATTCTCTCCATTATTTTCTCCATCATTCTCTCCATTATTTTCTCCATCATTCTCTCCAGTATTTTCTCCATCATTCTCTCCATTATTTCATCCATCATTCTCTCCATTATTTCATCCATCATTCTCTCCATTATTTTCTCCATCATTCTCTCCATTATTTTCTCCATCATTCTCTCCATTATTTTCTCCATCATTCTCTCCATTATTTTCTCCATCATTCTCTCCATTATTTTCTCCATCATTCTCTCCATTATTTTCTCCATCATTCTCTCCAGTATTTTCTCCATCATTCTCTCCATTATTTCATCCATCATTCTCTCCATTATTTCATCCATCATTCTATCCATTATCTCTGATCATAATTGTCTCCAGCATTTTCTCTATCATCTCTTTATCAAACGATTATATCTCCTGTAATTTTTCTGATCATCAACTCTCCTTCATCATTTTATGATAATTATTAACCAGAATATACTTCCAAGCATACAAAGGCGCATGGCTCCAATTGCATTATCTCTATATGATTCTTCCTTTCCTCCGTTTTTTTTCTTTTAACGATTCTCCTCTTCATCATGATTCTTTCCTTTTCTTTGATCTTTATCCACAATACCTCCTTTGAATTCTTGACCAGGCTTCATTTCTTCCCATAATATCACTTATTCCACCATGCATAATATATACTCCCTTCATTTTTTCTTTTGTAATCATATATCATTGATTCTCTCCTATCTCTTTTCATCCATTCTCTCCTGGTCAATGTTCTCTCCATTATTCTATATATTGCTCTCTCTCCCCCCTCTCTCTCTCTCTCTCTCTCTCTCTCCCTCTCTCTCTCTCTTTCTCTTTCTCCCTATCTCCCCCTCTCTCTCTTTCTCTTCCCACCCCCTCTCTTCTTCATTTTACGTCAAGTCTGCCCTTCATCCATAATTATTCTCTTTCTCTTCATCACTTTATTTTATCCTTATTCATCAATATCATCATTATCATTCACCTTTCTTGTTATTAGTGTTCTCTCCATCATCCTTTATCTTCCATCGTCATCATCAGTATGGACCTATTCATTTGTCATTTGTCATTCAGTGGTATGACTCTCCATTATAGTTCATTCGTACTTCATTCTCTCTTTTTTTTTTTTTTTTTCCATTAATGAAAGAAGTATGTCAGTGAGATTTTCCTCAATATTTCTCTATCCCAGTTTCCATTCTCTTTAAAAAAAAAATTGTGTTTGTTTGGTTGTTGTTGTTGTTCTTCTTCTTATTCCCCCACCCCCTAGGGGGAGGTGGGGGGGGGGGGTTAAGGGTTTTAAGGTTAAAACAACACAAAACAAGACGAGTGGCTGTAAAATAAGGCCGAGTTTGAAGACAAAGATACGTCCGCGAGTTTGCACTTCATTCGGGTCGATTCGTCTAGATCCCATGTCCGTAAACATGGCGCTGCTCAGGCAAATTGCTGGAAGGCTGACTTCCATGTCATTGCAGGAATTATCTGCTTCTCAATCAGCTCCGATTATACATGGATCCAGACGGTTCGCTTCTGCATTTAAATTTGTTCCTGATGCAGCCTCGCCATCGGATGGTAAGGAAACTGTGTGTGTGTGCGTGGAGTCCAAATGAAATCTTTAAAACTTGACACTCTTTCCAATAGGTGGGACCTTGATCATAGTTGTGGGGAGGGATGGGGGGGGGGGGGATAAGCTTAGCACTTTGTTTTCATAGGCTAAATCGCCTAAGTATGCTCTAATTCAGTGTTGATGATGATTTAGTTATTTGTTGATCGGCATGATCTTGGTTCTGCATATTTTGAATGAAGATGACATGAAAAATCGGGATCAACATGACCGACAAATGACATTAATTAACGCAAAATATCAAATTATTTTGTAGGTCTATCTTAGACCGAATTTTCCGTCTCTTTCGTTCGTTAGCCTCTTATTGGGGTAGGGTCGGCTCTCTCTTTAGAGACGGAAGCCGTTTATACACATGTCCTTGCTAACGCCACGGCCAGTTCTGGTCGTAGCGTTTTGCCCCCAAAATCCCCCAAAATGTCATTTTACCTCGAGCATGTTATATTGTAAATTAGGCCTAGGCTATAATAAATCAGTTCCACTTACCAACTTGACTGAAATAATCAGTTTAATAGTCCCTTTTTAGGAAATTATGGGTCAAAATCGGAATCCATGTTGAAAAAGATTTTCAAAATGGATTTCGATTTTGACCCATAATTTCCTAAAAAGGGACTATTAAACTGATTATTTCAGTCAAGTTGGTAAGTGGAACTGATTTATTATAGCCTAGGCCTAATTTACAATATAACATGCTCGAGGTAAAATGACATTTTGGGGGATTTTGGGGGCAAAACGCTACGACCAGAACTGGCCGTGGCGTTAGCAAGGACATGTGTATAAACGGCTTCCGTCTCTAAAGAGAGAGCCGACCCTACCCCAATAAGAGGCTAACGAACGAAAGAGACGGAAAATACGGTCTAGGTCTATCTGTGTGATCTGTCATGATCAATTTGATGCCTGGTAATATTTGTTTTACTAAATGAAAGGTTCCTTGAGCTATGTAGTACGCACAGCTCACAGGTAATAAATGGTTACCAATCTTGATTTTATGGCAGACTAGTACGATCTAGTACGAGTCGAGTTGAGACTTGTAAATTTCACCTCGACTACCAATATGAAATGAAATCTATACAAATGTTTTGCCTTATTTGGGGGGCGAACCTCAATCAGTATATTAATATTCTTGTTACGGTAAGTTGTTACTTAATAAGAGCTTAGTTTGGCACAATTAATGTGTCACACTGCACATATTTGTGCATAGCTTATGGATCCTGATGAGGCCCAGATGTTTTGTTTTCCTTCTCTCTCTCACCTGGACAATTTTACGTGTAAGACAGAATTTTTGAATAAGGATGATGAAATATTGTATGTCTGATGTCAATACATTTTTTAAATTATCACTTTGATCAAAATATAATTTTTATGCTCTTTTTGGCTGGTGATTTTGTTTCTTTGAAACGATCTTGTAAGTTTGAGAACGCACTCTCGCCTGTGATAACCTGGTATATAATTGTGAGTGGTCCCTGGCTATCGGTTCTTCTTCTTACATTTCTTTATTTTCTTTGTTAACTGTTATGTTCTGTAGGAGAAACAACAAAGATGAATCTATTCCAGGCTCTCAACAATGCCATGGATGTAGCCTTGACTTCAGACTCTACAGCAGGTGATTTTTTTTCTTCTTATATTCTCCTCAATTCTTTGTCAAGTCATATTATTTTAACAAAATGATATGTTACATGTAGTTGTTTTGTTGTTCTTCAGTGAAATACAATCTTTAGTTTTTATCACAGTCTTGTTTGTGTAAACTGTTTCTTGGTAATGCTCTTCTCTTTTGGAGGAGAAAAAAAAAATCAAAAATATGAATGGGAACTGTTGACGAGTTAGCTCAGGAAAGCTTCAAAATACCTCTGGTATTAATTATGATAGTTAAATACTGAAATATCACATATTCAGGAATGTTGACTGTCTCCAGTGTGTATTAAAAGAACACAAATGAAATCTACTGATAATGTGCTGCAGGTTACATGTAGATGCTGTTTTCTCAAGATGACTGTGATGCACATTCATTAGCCTACGGTGCGTCATAGAAAAGTGTTTTCTACAAACCAGAAACTTATGTCATTTTTAGATCGATGAGTTTTTTGGTTGCGATGCATTCATTGAGTGCCTTAAAAATTTAACGAATCAGAATCACTCACAAAATTCATTTTGCAAACCTTTCATCCGCCAGAAGGTTTCTGGGTTGACAGTGTTGAAAAAGAAAAAGTGAGCTCAAAAGTGAAATACAGTTGTCAAGCATATCCTTGCTACTTCTCTACTCTGAAATATTGTTTTCTTTTCTTTTTTCATCCAGTTATATTTGGTGAGGATGTTGCCTTTGGTGGTGTTTTCAGATGTACTGTTGGATTAGCGGATAAACATGGTGAGTAGGGGATTACATTTTTTTATCTCTACATGAATGTTTTAATTTGGGCAAACATTTATGGATACCTTTAGATTAATTCTATGGGGAGGGGAGGGGGGAGGATTAATAGTATAAAAATAAAAATGTCTTCTGTAGTCTGTACCCAGTATAGCTTCATTAGTGCTAAAACTGTTCTCTTTGAGGACCCTGCAATCATATCATTTCACTTGCTCTAGCCTGGATACTATGATAAACCACACAGGCAAACAAGTATCTATATCCCTCCACCCCTTAGAAAAAAAGGATTTGCGTCAATTCAAAAAACAATATATATATTTTTGCTTTTGTGAGCAAGCAGAAATGTCTTTGGTAATATGAAAATGAATATCTTAACTAAGGCTGCGACGGGTAGTCGAATGCTCGAGTACCCGCACGGTTGACAACTACTCGGGTACGATTTCTTGTACCCGAATATTCGGCCGCAAAAAAAAAAAAAAAATGTCCAGGCCCACGCTTACCCGTGCCAGGGAGAGCGGCGTCCGCTGGCATGGTACCGTCGGTAAAAATGTTTCCCAACTCAAGCACTGTCAAACTCACCTTTCAGAAACTGGGACTAAATGTCCAGATTTCTGTTTGGACTTGGAGGAAAATGGATTATTCTGCCATCTTTGGTTTTTAAAACAGCATTGTTTACTGTTATTATTCTTATTAAATCGGCGCCTTCAACTGCAACTCAAAGTAAAGTTGCATGCATTTTCAGCAAGGGACCTGAGAAACTGCCGAGTGGAATGGTAGTGGCAAAAAAAGAAGAAAAAAAAGGGAAAAAATCCAAAAATTAAAAAATTAAAAAAAAATCCAAAAAAATCCAAAAAAATTCAAAAAAATTCAAAAAATTATAAAAAAACATGGCGTCCGAATATTTGAGTATTCATCTGTGAGCCTGGGAGTGTACTCGGGTACCTCATTACACTGTTTTGCACAGCCCTAATCTTAACCTTTTTATGTTGATGCAAAGTCCAAGCTATTTTGTTGCATATATGTTTAATACTGATCGCATCTAACTAGGTTTGTTGGTTGGTTGATGGGTTGTTTTTGATTTGTTTTACCTGACTGCTAATAAAGCACACATGTGCTTGTAAGTAAGCTATCAGGGGACTGACAGCTTTAAGTCCTGTCTGAGGGACTATAACTCTACTAGAGCTTGCATCAGCCCCAAAATGAAATAAAAATATAAAAAAAAATCATGCATATTGAATCCTTGGTACTTGATAATGTATTGACCCCATTTGTCAAAATACCATGGAATTGTCCTTTCCTCATCTAATTGTGATTGAAACCAAATATCAGGTGTTGCTTTTGATTCATATCTTTGATATCACCATCTTTTGACAGGTAAAGATAGGGTATTCAACACACCACTCTGTGAACAAGGTATCGTAGGCTTCGGCATCGGCATGGCAGCCGTGGGAGCTACCGCTATCGCTGAAATACAATTTGCTGATTATATCTACCCAGCCTTTGATCAAGTAAGCCATGGACTGCAACATTTTTCTCATTCGCATAGGCCTGATGGAAGGACTATCCGGGTCTTTAAGTTTTAGGCAAGGGCAAATGAGTTTACAAAAGCAACAAAGGCCATTTAGAGTTGAAAAGTGATCACAGGGCTCCCATTGATACCATATCTGTGAGATCAGGGGGAACTGGAATATGTTTCCTCTTCTCTAGTTAGGGATAAGACTTCGAGTTTGAGAAAAATATCTATTAATCATTGGAAAAATCAGGAAATTTCATTGCCCCCCCCCCCCCCCAAAAAAAAAAGTAGTCAGTCTCCTACATATCATGTTCGAACAGTGATCTACTGAAGATAAGCTTAACTGGGTTTTTCAGTGTTTGAAATGCCCCCTGTTTATTAACAATAGAATTTTAAACAAAATCAGAGAATAATCTTTTTTTTAAATTCTTGGTATGAGTTGATGAAAGACTTGCTAGGGATGTTTTTTTCCTTGCAATTATTTTTCTTTCCCTTTTTCAAAATTAATTATTACTTGATTGGTTTTGGCTGTTGTTTTCTTGAGTTGATATCACTTACACTGTATGTCGTCATTTGAAATTTGGACAATGTACCTCGGAGTCATATTTCAAGCACATTGATCAATAGCAATTCAAACAAAAATTAATTTCCATTGGTATATCAGGTTTTTCCTCCAAATTAACTATTTGGTTTCTTTCTCCAAATTAACTATTTAGTTTCTTTTATTCTTCCATTATTAAAAATACAACCTGTTATTTAGCTTGGTTTGTTACTGCAGACAATTTTCAAATATATAATTTTCCTGAACTCCTGATTTCTTTCAGATCATCAACGAGGCAGCAAAGTTCCGGTACAGGTCAGGCAACATGTTTGACGTCGGAGGTCTCACCATCAGAGCTCCGTGGGGAGCGGTCGGGCACGGCGCCCTCTATCATTCACAGAGTCCAGAGGCCTTCTTTGCACATATCCCAGGAGTCAAGGTAAACATTGAATGTGCCACTGACGAAGACTCCATTCACACTCACTTAAAAGTCTGAAAAGACGTTCAAGCAGAAAGCAACAAATGAATAATTTTCACGCTTTTTCTCTCTAAGGGCCCGTTCAGGTATCACACGGCTAAAAAAGGGCGATGGATTTTTGTGCTGACGTAGAGTGTAATACACGTTATGTTTTTGTAGCTTATAACACAGAGCTCATTGAGTGCACGCAGGACCTATCTTGCTCACACTGATGCAATTAATTTGCACGTAAAAACGGAGGATCTAGCTTTTTGCGGCTGTCTGACGAGTCATATCTGAACAAGCCTTAAGAAATAATTCCTGCTCTAAACATAGCTTCCTAACCCTTTGTTATTCATAATTTATAGTTTATTGATCCAGCTGTTCCACACAGGAATTCATCTTAGATTAGTGTGATGAAACAAAAATTGAACAGAAAAGAAAGACAGTGTACAAGGTGTTTAAAAAAAACAAAAAAAAACCTCAAGTTTTTTCCGGTCAGCATCTGTCCAAGTATGATTCAAACCCACCTTTTGTTGCAAAGGCAAAATTTTCATAAACTGACTCACATTACTTTGTTTCTTTCTCTCTGCCTGTCTGTCTGTCTCTTTCCCTTTCTTTAATCTCTCTATCTCCATATCTCACAATTTTGCTCACTCTCTCTTTCTCTCTATTGCTCTCTGTCTCTCTCTGTCTCTCTCTATCTCTCTTTCTTTCTTGCTCTCTCTCTCTCTCTCTATTGCTCTCTGTCTCTCTCTTTCTTTTTTGCTCTCTCTCTCTCTCTCTCTCTCTCTCTCTTTCTATCACTCTTCCATTCAGGTTGTGATCCCACGTAGTCCCATCCAAGCCAAGGGCCTGTTACTGTCTTGCATACGAGATCCAAATCCATGTATCTTCTTTGAACCTAAAGTACTCTATCGTGCAGCTGGTAAGTATCCCTATCTTAAAGGTAAAGACCAGTATTGGAAATGCCCCAATTTCAAAAAATGAAATGGAAGCTCTCATTACCAATCATGTGAAAGAATATGTTTTGACTAATACATGATGATACAAAATTTGCCGGGAAACCGCCTACTAATTCATATATTTGGTAAATTTGTTTCTCTCATGGTCTGTGAGAGATATAGGGTAGTCCCATATACATATTTCTGTGTATAGTGCTTGTAACTTTACGAAGAATGGGCCAAATTTCTTATCATTTTGATGATTCCAGAACCTTGCAGATGCTAGATGCTAGATGATCAACCTTTTCTGATCGATTCCACAACGTTTCTTTCACAATGCAATCGCATGACCATAAATGGTCTTTACCTTTAAAGGGAGAGGGTCGTCAATTTCCATGTGCAGTAGGTCATAATTCGCTGACACCAGACTTGTTGGAAATACCATTAATGGGTGTACAAGTCTTGCAGGCAGCAAACCTGTGGTCCCATCAAGATATACCCCCTCGTCTCTCATATGGTGTTCGATAAGGGAAATGTAAGATAATTACTCTTTTCATATAGGGCGAGGGGTGGAAAATTCATAGCATTACATAAGGCCTGTTGATAAAAACTGAAGGCTAATCTTGAGGATTGACAGCACCTGTTATTGGGTACACACCCGAATGGTGTCGAATTCCTCATGAGAGCCCACAATATGTGTGCTTAATCTACATTTGCTATCGATCTCCACCTGGGCGTAGGTATCAGTGACACATGTGTGTTATCTATCCATCATGTACTATTATTGTCTTTCATTATTTTGATATTTTTGTTGTTTTTTTCCCATTTCATTTCTTTCATTCTCTCCGTCTCTGTCTCTGTCTCTGTCTCTCTCTCTCTCTCTCTCTCTTTTTTCCCTCTCTCTCTCCCTCTCTCTCCCTCTCTCTCTCTCTCTCTGCTTCTCTCTTGATGTGTTACAGTTGAGCAAGTCCCAGTCAAGGATTACATGATTCCATTGTCAAAAGCAGAAGTACTACAAGAAGGTAAGTCTTAACCCATCGACTACTGAATTCTCTAATTCCCACACTCCTAATACAGGGACCACCCAGCATTAGGCAATGCGTTTAATTATAATATGATGAACTTTAACCCTTGACCCCCACATTTACAGAAACTCACCATAACTTTAGTTTTAAAACTTCATTCACTTTCTTTTTCGTTGTCCAATTTCATTCGAGTTGGTTTGGATTGGTTTTGTCACCAACCTATTTCACCAATATTTTTCTCAGATTATGTTTTTGCCCAATTGTGCTTGTTGGAAGAGTTGATTGATCTTTACTACTTAAAAACATTTCTTGAGAAATACGATTCAAAACTTGCTATCATCTAATATCTAAAAAATAGTTCAGAAGATGATAGAAAGCAAGATTATATGGGTGCTGGCAACAGTACAAAACTCTGCTTGAATTGCATCTCCCCATATGTTTGGAGCCTGTATGTTGATAAAACTTTTAATAGAAGGATATGAATTAATACCCTTCTGGCTTGGAACAGACAAATCATATGATTGTTATTTCTTCAGTATGAATTAAAAAAACAATTATTGTATAAATAAATGGATTTCAAATTCTTTTAGCCCAATAACAGTGGCCATGTTACCTGATTAAAAAAAAAAAAAATCATTTAGTTCCTAACATATTAAGCTCACAATGAAGAAATTTATGATCTAAAGACTGTTCTAAAGGTTTAGTATGTACATGTAATGTCAAACCTGTCTATAGCGACCGCCGAGAGAACACAAAAAGTGGTCTCTGTAGACAGGTTCCTTTTATCAGTACATGTTTCAATGAGAAACCATTTTCAAGGGAAACAAAAATGTGGTCTTTGTAGACAGGTGGTCTTTGTAGACAGGTTCCTTTAGTACATGTTTCAATGAGAAACCATTTTCAAGGGAAACAAAAATGTGGTCTTTGTAGACAGGTGGTCACTACAACAGGTTTGACTTTAGTACCTGTAACAAGGCTCCAGCAATGTCATAGGTTTTATGACATCAAGTGAACTTTGCTACATAATCACTGAGAGAATATATGTGAACTACAATTACAGATAGAAAGATTAAAAAGCGATTTCGACTTCAAAGATTTCCCGACATAATTGCTCCTGTCAAAATATAACAATAGCATTTACGGTACATGAGCAAAATATGACATTTTGGTATTATTTTGTTTGTTATCTCTGCGCTACTAAAGATGTGTTTGTATAGTAAGTGTGGGTGTGATGTCTAATTGATATATTGGGGTAGGGCGTGTGCAATGACATTGATACAAAAAATAATCGCTATCACAAAAATTGACGCAAGAGCCAACACAAGGGTTCATTCACACATGATGTGATAAATCACAGCTGTTTTAAAAAAATGTTTAAATGGTGTGTGTTGGTTAATAAAGTAGCTGCCCACAATGTACGTACATGTATGTATCTTAAAGGTAGTGTGTCCCTTTTGCAGCCAACATCAAATTCTAAAGTAGCTGCGCAAAATGTATGTATGTATCTTAAAGGTAGTGTATCCCTTTTGCAGCCAACATCAAATTCTGTATAACTTGCAGGAATTATGAATATGTCACATATGCCCTATCTGTGAAATTTAAACGTTAGCAGTGTCCTAGTATTCAAATTATGCAAGGAAACCCGTTTACTTTCTAGACTTCACTGTCGGACACTATTGAGTGACTGACTGACTTCTTTTTTTCTTTGGTAATAATATACATCAAATGAGCTTAAAAGGGTACATGTACATGAGCATTTCTCTACATCAATAACCCACTTCTTGTAATGGCCAAAATTAAACTGATTGAATCTTTACGCGACACAAAACGTGGGACCATTCGGTACAAGGGTCTGAAAATTGGACTATTTAATTTATTAAACGAGCGCACTCTCTAAATTCGCTTTAACATTTAACGCTAGTTATCGTTCCCCAAAAAAGACATTTTCAAGCCGCTTTATTTTGAGGGAAGTTTCATATTTGTATTTTCTTTCAATTGCTGTTGTAATTTAACCTTTTTATTTTTTTGGCCTGCAAATAGGACATTTAAGAGAGTCAGAAATATGAAGCGCATTACGCTTAAATTATTTTGCCTCGGCGGTTTAACTTGTCGTTTTTTTGCATGCAATTTGTGAACGAGGCTTCCGAAAAGATACAGCTAAGTCAATACCCTGTCATTCATTATAGATTAGATGCAAACATGTGGTCTTTCACATGATAATATCCAATGTTTGGTTAATAGATTAAGTATATATTTAGCACTTGTCCGACACACACCGTTTTTCATTAAAAAATTATGTTTACCATAAAAAAAAATTAAGTGTTTGACTAATTCAGCACTTGTCAGACACAAATCATTTTTTTGTTTGAAAATTATGTTTAGATAGAAAATGAAGTGTTGTGTAAGAAGTGTTGCATATTTTTTATTTCGTAATTGACATTGACTAATGTAAACAGACATGAGTGCTGTACAAAAACCCACTGTTGTTGTTGCTGTAGTAAATGTTATTAATACAAAACATGATATCCTTGTACTCTGTATCATATTGACATTGCAGGTACAAAACTCTGTCAGGCATAAATCCTTGACTGGGTCTTAACTACATGTATTTGGAGTGTTACAAACTTTACTGACATGTCATTTGTGTCTTGCATAAACACAAATCTAAGTCAATTTTTTTCCCTTTTTTGTTGAGATTTGTAATGAAAGGATAAAGAAAGGATATAGAGAAGTTATAAACTATCATTTTAAAGAGCAGTTTGAGTTACGGGTTTCATTGCACAAATTTAACATTGATGATGGTAACTTTGCCATTCATGGTAGCTTCCATGAAAACCTTGATTTGTTTGGCTGTTAACTGATGTTGTCATAGTTGTTAATATTGATGGCAAAGTTACCATCAGTGGTAAGTTTTATGCAACGGTGCCCTGGAATGATTGTGTAGCTCTCAAAATTTTGTTTATCAAAGTTTATCAAAGTAGTAAGGAAAAGGATCACCTGTGAAGTGTCTTCATATTCCAAACATAACAGATTAAAGTGTAGTTTGGACCAACTTATAATGGCACAAGTGTACAGTGTATGCTTAGTCCCATATACCCATATATATGAAGTGCTTTCACTTACATGTATGTCATTTTCAGGAAGATTGTTTTGTTTTGTTTTTGTTTTGTGTATATACACTGTATTGTGCAGTTGCGAACAATAGCTACTTCAGCTATCAACATATAATTGCTGCAGCTGAGATAATGATATTTTTCACTTATCCATTCAAAACAAAAGTAACAAAACATTTCTTACACATTTAACGTGAGAAATTATTGGATCACACAATTTAAGAATGTGGAAGTGTGTACTTATATTGGAGAAAAGTGGCATTGCAAGACATAAAAGCAACTTCATGTACATCTATTAAAAATTGATCATCTTCGACTTACAAGAGGTATAGGAAGATCATGTTGGAGATATTGTTTAAATCTTGTTCGATGTACCCTTGAATCCCTCTCAAGGCTCTTTAATATTATATGATTATTAGTTGTATAAAGGTTTTGAGGCAACCAGAAAATTTGTGATATCTTGCTCTTTGAGCAGAAGTACCAGGATTACCGTGCAGTAGATTGTAAAAATCCCATGATTTGGTGTGCGTAAATGAGTAAAAAAAAAAGGTGAATATGTGTTGCAATACGCTCAGGCTAAGACAATGGATGTATGCGCACAGCCCTTGTAAAATATGGGTAAGGACAAAAGGAGTTTTTCTCTGGGTGTGTGCAAGGTAATACAAACACATAGGTGGAAATTGAGATACTAGGTTTCATACAATTAATAATAGTAATATTGAATGGCTCTTCTTTTGTGGGACACGAGGTTATATCGCTCTCGCTTTGAGAATATTTCACTCATGCTGACTTTATGTGCAATATGTTCTTCATTCGGTTTGCGCCTTTGTGGGAAATACCCTTGACTTGTATCCTTCTGAAGGCCATTACATATTATATAATGATTGTTGTTTCCTTTTACAGGCAGTGATGTGACCTTGGTAGGATGGGGTACCCAGATACATGTTCTGAGGGAGGTTGCTCAAATGGCCCAAGAGAAGCTTGGAGTCAGCTGTGAGCTGATCGACCTGGTCACCATCTTACCCTGGGACAAAGATACTATAATCAAGGTAAACCCCCTTCCCCTGTCTGTTCCCCCCTCTCCTCTTCTCTTCTCTTCTCCCTCCTACCCCCGTTACCCTGCCCCTTCCCCATCAACCTTGTTACCATCTTAATACCATGGGACAAGGATAATATACCGGTAGTTAAGCTGAACAAATGTTCCCCTTCCCCTCTCTGTTTCCCCCTCTTCCCACTACCCTTCTTCCTCCATCCCGTTACCCTGCCCCCTCCCCCATCAACCGTGTGACCATCTTACCCTGGGACAAGGATACTATAATCAAGGTGAACAGTGCTACCTCCTTCCTCTTCCCCCTCCAGCTCCCCCTCTGCCTTTTTTCTTTCCCCTCCCGCTCCCCCTCTCCCTTCCTCCATCCTCCTATCACTATAGACCGTGTTACCCTGGGACGAGAACATAATATCCAAGGTGAACAACTCTACCCCTTCCCCCTTCCCCTTTCCCCTTTCCCCCTTCCCCCTTTCCCTTTCCTCCTTCCTCCATTCCCCTTTTTGACAATTTTTTGAACAACTCCCCTTTAACAAAGACGTTGATTCAGATGGTACCAAAATAACTGCTCTAAGGTTCAAACTACCGGTACCAGCTGGGCAAGCTTGGTAAGCTGGCAACATGTTGAAGTGAATTGCATACACATCTTGAGTGAGAATTCTCCAGTGGTCTTAGTTTTCCTATCAACCATAAGATCACTCAGGGTTTAAAACTCTGAATAAATTTCAAGTTTTTGAAAGTGCGAGCATGTCTTCACGGTCCGTAACCACATTATTGATAGCCTCAGTGTTGAATCTACGAGCTAAACTTAAGTAAACAGACTTTCGTGTGAACCTAACTAATATGATACGAGATTGCAGCGAGGTCAGGGCATGTAATTCCTAAAGTCAGTCTTCAATGTGATATTGATGCTGTGTACATTTCTTTATATTGCCGCTGTTTACGTAAACCCTAACGGCAGTCCTCAAAGTGATATTGACGCTGTTTACATTACTTGAAATAGATTCTCTATTGTTTATTCTGTTGACCCTGGCTTCCTTTGTTTTATCGAGATGTGATAAGAATTATAATGGTTTTGTGGTATGTAAATGTGTTTTTGTTTTGATTTAGTTAATAGCTTGAAATTGTTGTCTCTTTCTTTCCCTCTATGTCCTTCTCTCTCTCTCTGTTTCACTCTTTCTTTCTCTCTCTATTTCTCTTTCTCTCTCTTCTCCCTCTTTCCCCTCTCTCTCTTTAAAAAAAAAAAATCATGATTGGAAGAACGTGCAAAATCTTGAGAGATCCACTACGCGTGTATTTAAATAAACTGCACCATTTGCCAATTTTATGTTCTGCAAAGTGACAATTTAATACCCAACTACCAAAGACAATCGATAGCAGGTGCATTCCACAACACCCAGTAGCTTAGAAGGCCTCAAATTTACAAACATGGGCATCAAAACAATGTGCTTCTAGAGGCAACAATGGAAGACCATTGTTTTATATAAAGACGTTATTGGCATGGGGCCCAAGAACGTGAATGATGAATGGTGAGAAAAATAGTTTTCGTTGTTTTGAAGCCTCAAGCAGACTGTTGATATTGGCTGACATTTACAGAATGAGATAATATAAGACCTTCGCGTATTCAAGTAGATCAAATTGGTCTTCTTGAAATTCAAATGGATATTAAATGTATCAGGATAATTACCCCCTAGACAATTACCCCCTAAGTAAGACCTACACTGTAAGACAATTACCCCCCCCCCCCCCCCCCCCCCCGGACAACCAGCCGAAAAACAATTATAGTTTTCCATAGTTTCCATAGTCCATTTCTCTCTATACAAAAAAAGTTTGCACCTAGTACATTGCTAATTATTCTAAAAAGCATCTATGAACAGTAAATTATTATACATCTTATGAAAGAGTGTTTTATCCCAAATTATTTGGTATCATTTTTGTTTGGAATGTGTTCACGCTTGGATGAACAGGAGGCATTGTTTGCAAAAATCGATTTGCGCCAAAGTTGCTTGTGTGATGTTTGAATAAAACAATTGGGATTAGGGTATTAATTCGGTCTTTGCAGATCCAGATAACATCCCTAACAAAATTAATCATACCACACATATCAAATATCAAATATATCAAATATCAAAGAACATTTGTGCGCGTATGTGCGTGTGTGTGTGTGTGACTTTGCTTCTGCAAAAAGCATACGCAATGCATTTCATCTGATACATTCAATTCATTCTCTCACTCCGTTAATCCCAACCTAATACATGCTGTAGGCATCACTTTGGCGCAAGTCGATTTTTGCACTCTCGCAAACAATGCCTCCTGTTCATCCTAGCTTGAACACATACCACACAAAAATGATACCAAATGATTACGGATAAAACACTCTTTCGTATAATAATTTACCGTTCATAGATGATTTTTAAAATAATTAGCAATTGTCTAGGTGTAAACTTTTTTTTGACTCACACAGTATATCTCTCTCTTTTATGCTCTCTCTTCCTCTCTCTCTCCCTCTCTCTATCTCCCCCTCTTTCCCCTCCCCCCCCCCCCCCTCTCTCTCTCTCTCTCTCTTCCCCCCCCCCCTCTTCCCATCTCTCTCTATTCTCTCTTTCTCTCTCTTTCTCCCTCCCTTCCCCTCTCTCTCTCTCTTAAATGTTGTGTAATTTTGCACTGTGTACATTTACATGCATATTGAATATATATAGTTCCTTCCCAATATCACGCTTAGATTTTTATTACTGTGGTTCAATAATGCAGAGATTATTCGATAAAACATTTTCTAAACAACAAACAAACAAAATATTTAAATTCTTGAGAATTGGTATCCATTCATCCATCTCATAATAATGTATCCAATTTTTATATGTTATACAGATTTTAATTTTTTTGAAATGATAATTGATATATTGTCTCGTGCACAATGCCACTCTTCACTTCAGATTAATTGAATTTTATTGATTTAAGCAAACGACAGAGTGTCAACATTCATCGGATATGCCATCATCGATTGACAGCTGAATAATCTTCATGCGACCTTATGTCAGTGACCTCCATGTCTCTATGAAAACTTGTACAAACATTTTTTTATAATTATCTTTTATTGTTAAAAAAGGTCTTATGATATTTTCTGCATCGAGCAAGAAAGGTGTTAACTGATCTCATACCCTCTAACACAGAGTTAACAATAACACTCTTTTCATTCTCAACCGCTAAACAACACTCAATATATCTTTAGGTATATTTTCTTTTTTAATTTAGCTTTATTTTTAAATTTCTTTTGTTTGTTTGCTTTGGATTTTTTGTTTTTTTCGGGGGGGGGGGGGTCTTTTGGGCTATTTTTTAGTGAGGTCATGACAAAAAGAGTGGTAAATAATCATGTTTTCATCCAATTGTTTATGGTATCTTGTATTGCAGTCGGTAGAGAAGACTGGTAGACTACTGGTAGCGCACGAAGCACCAATCACAGGTGGATTTGCATCAGAGATTGCCTCCAGTGTACAGGTGAGAAAATATCCCAACCTTCAACGTTATTCCAAGTATTCCTGGATTCATTCATAAAGATCATCCTTGTATAATCTGCTTGTACTTAAGTTTCAATGGCAATTGTGTGCCTCAAATATTGGAGCATGGTCATGCCAATATTTGAATATATTTGCTATGAAATGTGGATAAAGTACTGCACATCCACTTCTTACAATACAAACCTTTACCAAGTTGTGTGGTCTTTGTAGACAGGTGATCACTAAAGCAGGTTTGACTGTAGTATGACATAATGGAGACATTCAAAATGTCAACAACAGTAACCAGGGAGTTGACGTCATGCAACCTCGAGCCTATATTCCATGTTCCAAAGCTTTTCATTTTTTTTTAACCCCTCTTTTTTTTTTAATCACTCGTGTGATGAGAACAGCAATCACAGCAATTATTTTAATCACCTATTTACAAGTAAAACATCACATGCTTTGAAAAACATTTGACATCAGCCCTGTATTTTGAAAATCATGAACTCCTAGTTACATTGTGGTTTCCTCATGGTTTGTTTGGTAATGAACTGATATCAAACAAATATTATTTGAAGGTCACTTCGACAAGATAACCTTACAATTATAAAACCTTCAAGTTTGTTTCATCTCCCGGTTTGAAATATTTTGAAGCCACCGCAGAGAAGCGATAACATTGTTTGGATGGAGTAGCAAGTTCAAAGGACGCTGCATTGCTCTCTCTCTCTCTCTGACCCTCTCTCTCTCTTCCTCTCTCTCTCTCTCTCTCTCTCTGACCCTCTCTCTCTCTTCCTCTCTCTCTCTCTCTCTCTCTTCCTCTCTCTCTCTCTCTTCCTCTCTCTCTCTCTCTCTATCTCTCTCCCTCTCTCTCTCTCTCTCTTCCTCTCTCTCTCTCTCTCTCTCTCTTTCTCTCTCTCTCTCTCTCTCTCTTCTCCTTTGTGTCTCTAAAACAATTGATATTATCATTGTATGCAAAATGACGAGAAAAAAACAAGGGGGTAACATCGTAAAGTTTAATCACCTCAAAAGTGTCACATAGTGAGGTTTAGTAGATACAAGTATACAATACAATGGAAATACCTCCGAGGAGATACCTCCGAAGCAGTTTCTGTCATTTTGCAAAAAATACAAAAATAGAGATAAATATGAAATATACTGTGATTGAAGGGGGGGGGGTATGAAAATGTTATGCCCTTGAAAGTCTCAAGGATATCCCCCTACCGCTAGCATACAATACCCATGAAATTCAGGGATGCACAATTTGTCGTTGTTAAAATAGCTATTTAGAAACTTTCTTAAACATAAACAAGTGAGTTTAATGTGGAGTTATTCTGTCATTTTATCACAGGGGAAACTATGATTCCACCAGATAAATACATGGACCTGTTTGTTTGTTTTACCTGACTGTTAAGAAAGCATGTGTTTGCTTTAAGCTTTACATGTAAGGCCAAATAAATAAAAAAAACATGTTTAGCGTCCTGTTTTTTTCGAAAAAACCTGACAGTCGGGCTATTTTTCAAGATGGCCGCCGACATTTTTTTTTTTTTAATCAGAAAAAGATCCATCTTAGCAGTGTTTTTCTTCTTTTTTTCTTTAAAGAAAAAAAAAAAATAGGAGGCGCCCCCCAAAAAGGAAGCGGGCAGGGACGCTAAACATGTTAATTTTTTTACATGGCCTAAGTCCTCTTCGAGAGGCTCGGTAAATGCCTTACCAAAGGGCACTAGCGCATAGTCTGGTTTTGAACACGGGACCTACCCGTTATGAGACCATTGCTCTACCACTGAGCCATCATGCCCCCTGCATCTGTATCAACATGTATCAGATAATTGATAATCTACACAAAATTAACACTTATTCTTGGGGAGACAAGTAGAGAAGGAACACTTGAATGTGGTTTTCCCCTTTCTGTTTCAACACTTCACATCACTCATGATATGATTGCACCATGTTTTCCCCAAACACTTGGAAGATATCATCTGTCAAGAGCCAGGACAGTGTAACTTTAGGCCTGTCCTCATCAGCTCGAGTTTGCCAAATACATGTAACCTACCATTTTCAGACTCTGGATATTATCCCGAAGCTCGAAATTACGACTTCACCAGACTGATACGCTCATCACAAACTAGTTCTGACATGTGCAAATTAGCCCTCTATTTTTCCAAATACCGGTAGCAGGATATTTTGGAAACAAGACCAAGATTTCTCGGGATATTTTCTCGACCAAACATCCCGCTAATTGCAACTGTGGGCTTATGAAGACTCAAACCAACTGGTTAATTTGAAATCGGGATAGTTAAAATAGTGGGTAATTTGGTAAACTTGAGCTAATGAAGACAAGCCTATAGGATCAATGGCTTTCATTACATGCTCTTCTAGTAGCTCTTACAGACTTTACATATCTCATGTTAAGTGGATGGAAGGAGTATGTTCAGGAAATCTTCTTGCCAGGTCCGTCACGTAATGCATTACAAGAGGATGTTTCCCTGTAACAAAACATGCAGTAGAAGAACAAAGGGGAGTGCACTTTTGAGAAGCTTTTGCGAGGCTCTCGACATTCAAGGGACTATTTCATATTGACGTCAACTTTGACGCAACATAATGTTTGAAATTTGCGTTGTAGGGCTGGCTCTACGACAATCATTGTTCTGTGGTAATTTCCTCCCGGCCCCCCCACTCAGTGTTATTTAGGGTACGCATATGCGTGTTCCAACCGACCCCCCCTTTTCAGCAAAAGTCCGGTGTGTAAAGTCAATACGGCTCGACCTTTTTCTTTTGTATACGAGCCTTTTTCCGCACCCCCCCCCCCTTTTCAGCAAAAGTCCGGTGTGTAAAGTCAATACGGCTCGACCTTTTTCTTTTGTTACGAAAAGGACATTTTGGCAACACGCATGCGGTCATTTTGAAACCTGAGTGGGGGGGGCCGGGAATTTCCTACACCTATGGAATGTGTAACTTCAACCCGGACCCAACACTATAACTAACTAACCCGGACCCAACACTATAACTAACTAACCCTAACCCTAAACCTTATGGCAACCCTAATCTTAAAGTCTGAATCAGTTGTTGCCGGAGCAAATGCTTAGGCACCGACAGGGCTCCACACCAACCTGTTTGGAAGGGACTCCAGGTCCCTGTTTCATGAAACTTGTCATCAATAACAAGTTACAATATGCTACTGAAATCACGGTATTTGATTGGTTGCGAGCATGTTTGTCATTGAAATTGAGCAGTTGTTATTGATAACAGGTTTATGACACAGGGCTCTGATTTAACTTTTTATAGTCTGTACATGTATCATGCATGAGCACTCATTGCGTGATATGCCTTAATACGATTTATGTTTTCATAAATATTTATGTTTTTACAATGTACAAAGTTCTGCAATTCAGCCATCTGGCTGCAAATGAATTTTTAATAAAACCATTACCATTACCATTATCATTACCATTACCATTACATTAATATGAATTGAATGAAAACGTACAGAGGAAATCAAATTTCATTAAAAAGTGCAACTCACTGTATGTTTGGGACTGCTTGTAAATCATTCACTTTGGTATGATGTTTACCTTGCGAATTTATTTTCCATCATTAATTCATTATCAAAACAGAGGAAGTTAGGATTACCTTAATAATAGAATTGACAGCATGCATTTAGCTAGGAAGAAACGATCTCAGTCTGCAAATGTAAACTTTGATCTTCCTTGAATATGTATACATACAGTTAGAGCATTCACAGAGTATATGATAAAATCCCCCCCCCCCCCAACAACAAAAAAATAATAATAATAATAATAATAATAAATAAATAAAAAATAAATAAATAAATAAATAAATAAAATAAAAATAAAAATAAAATAAAAATAAAATAAATAAATAAATAAATAAATAAATAAATAAAAAAATAAAAAAAATGCACATCTTGTCCATCAAATTATTTCTAGGAATTGACCCTGATGTTATCCTAAGTTCCTGACGAAATATTATTGGTGTTGTAGGCACCTATGATAGATAATTATACTGCTATCGATCGTTAGCTAGAACTGCTTTATACTTGTTTCAACTGAAATTAAACTTGATGTTATCCCACTATATATGTCAATTCCTCAGTATAACATGTATTTGTCAAGGCAGACATTTTTTTTTATGTTTATACTGCATACACTAATGTTACATGGGAGGGAAGAGTAAATTGACATTAGGGGATGTTTATCGATGCCTTTGTTTGTTCTTTGTGTACAGATGCATCATTTACAGTATATACTAGCACATCAATGACACTAAAGCACCCTGGTATCTAATTATCATTAGGGTCATCTTCATTTTGCCAAATATTTGAAGTAGCCTATTGTTAGAAAAAATCTACATTAACCTGAAGTAGTCTACTTTTTATGTTTGTGCTCTGAATAGGGGCTTGAGCTATTTCTCTCGAGTAAGCTAGGGTTTCTTCGTAACTTATTGATGAAGACACGCTTGGGATTGTGACAATGCTCTCTGAGGCTTAAGTAAAATCTCAGATCAAATATGCCTTGCCCAACTCCGTCTATTTCCTTCGGGAGCGTTGACATGGTAAAAGTTACCCCATATATCCACAGACCTGGGCCCCGTTGCACAAAACTTACCATTGATGGTAACTTTGCCATCATGGGTAACTGCCATGGAAACCTTGATTTTGATTGGCTGTTGAGCCCTGTTACCATGGTAGTTGCCATTGATGGCAAAGTTACCATCAATGGTAAGTTTTATGCAACGAGGCCCAGAAGTCCCACTTCAATTTTGTGTCTTTAGAATAATCACTGCCATAGTAGTTATGGAGGTGCATCATGAAATCTTTTGTTTGAGAAGAATCCACCTATATATCACAGAATGTACGGGTACTACATACATGAATAATGGTAACATAACTTTAATGAACAAGTATCCAATGTTCTTCTACATGTACATGTATGTGCGCTTTATTAATTCTGTTTCAATGACCTTTATCTGCCCAGGTGCAGATGGTATCTACAAACTTATATCTCAAGCTCAATGTTCTTCAGACTAATAGTAAAGCACCTAATGTATCGAGATGAAACCTCAGTCACACCGGCTGCCAAACCAATCAATCCTCAGCCATTCAGAATAATAACAATTGTTGTCCAGTCTGTTGTCAATGTGGTTTACATGTAGCTCATTAATACTGTTTTCACACTGGCACAAATTTGCTTAACCCCGGACTAGAGATGGGGTTAAAGTGGGTCTTAGCCCCACCTATAGTCCCAGGGTTAAGCTTATTCCAATTTCTGTTCAGACAAGTAATTACCAAAGTGGGCTAACCCCACCTATAGTACGGGGTTAGCTGGCCCTGCAAAAAAGCAGGGCTCACCCCGCAATTGTGGTGCTAACTCCGCAATTGCGTTGCCAAGCAAATGAATGAGAACAGAAATGAAAAATAGTCCGGTACTATGCAATGGACCGAATTAATGAATGTTCACGCTATACAGCTACATGTACATGTAGTACGGGGCTAAAGATTTGCAGTGAGAACAGCATGAATTTTCTTATTCCGGGGTAGGCGCTTCGTTCGGGGTTAAGCAAAGTATGAGGCTAAGCAAAACAAGTGTGAAAAGAGTATCATAGAGGTGTGCCGGGGTTCAGATACAGTACAGACCCTACAATATGCTGATCTAGTAAATGCTTTGTAGCAGAACCTTGAGCTAATTTTCCATCAAAATACATGTACGTACATGTAAATCGATTTCTTTTGTAGTCATATGGCACTACATAAATTTACACGTATAGGTGTAGAGTTTAAGTGGAAAAGGAAAATGGATCAATAATTCATGGTTCAAATTTCAGACCTATATTTTGCTTTGTTTTAATCTGCCTGTCCCATTATATACCTAGATGAGAAAAATATCTACTCAGTTGGTTCCTATCATGAACGATTGCTATGGCAACATGGTGTTGATGCAAAAAAATGTGTGTAGTGAGCATTTTATTTCAAGCGGATGTGGTGCCTTACAAATCTCATATAATATTATTAATATTATTTTAAAATTTGCATCTTTAGTCTTTACAATGAATCGAATGATTTATAGCTCTGATGTCAAAAACAATCATTAGGAATATCAGAGATGGTGCACATGCAGCAGAACAGTGAATCTGAATATTAGAATATTATACAAGTAGTGTTATGATAGACTGCATCCTCAGCTTTGGGTGCATCTTTGTCTCTTTTGTAAAAAGTGTTTAAGTGCTGGACATTTACTTCTTGCAGGTTTAAAAAAACAACGAACAACAGTACTGTATGTTTATTAACTGTTGTCTTTGAAAGTATTCTTACTGTTGTCAATAGAACTACATTTCAGGCGAAAATAGCATTGTTTCTATAATTTTTATTCTGACTTTTGGTTGTTTCATGGAAAATTCTGTTTATTGTTATCATATTTACTTCTTGGAAGTTTTTAATAATGAAGAACTACAGTACTGTACGTTTAGTATCTGTTGTCTTTGAAAGTATTCTTATTTTTTTCCATATAACTTTTTTCAGGAGGAAACAGCATATTATTATTCTGAATTTGGTTGTTTCATGGAAAATTCTGTTTATTGTTATCACTAGAACTCACCACTTCCTGTAGCTATTTATCTTCCAGGGGGTGTTTCACAAAGATTCTAAGTCGAACTCGACTCTTAGTTGGACTTAAAAATTATAGAGAGCCATTTGTAGCCTTAAAATGAAATATATTCAAAAGCGAGAAATGAAATATTTTAGACTTTTTATAAATTCCACATCAAGAACATTAAATCTCTTTGATATAAAAAAATATGAATGATTTGAATCAACATTATATGCCTTTTATAATAACTTTTAAAAAGTATTTTCATTGATGCTGATGACTTTCCATAATTGTTTAAGTCCAACTTAGAGATAAGTTCAACTTACGATCTTTGTGAAACACCCCCAAGAGTGTTTCCTTCATCTAGAAGCCCCTATCCAGAGGGTCAGTGGCTGGGACTGGCTTTGTGCTCTTCTACATGTAGCAGAGATGCCAACTGTTCCGTTTTTGCCGTATTTGTTCAGTTTTTTCGCTATGAATACGGCAGTACATTTTTTGTATGTTTTGTTACGGTTTTTTAGTTTTTTTTTTTTTTTTTAGTTTTTTTTTAGTTTTTTTTTTAGTGACGATTTTCTTAATTTCTGATCATGAGCTATGTGTCGTAAGTGTATTATGCATCTACATTTTTGCTCTTAAGAATACTTTTTTTTTTGAAGAAGGTTGGCATCTCTGATGTAGTACCTCCCCAACAAATGGTAGGAGAGGGCTCGGGTGGGGGTTAAAGTCCCTTTGGCATAAAAAGGGGGTATAAATTCATGGTATATTTTTGATGGTTTGTCTGACAATTCCATAAATCATCATCACCAGAACTCACCACTTTCTTTACCTTGCTCTACCTTTCCAGGAGGAGTGCTTCCTGCAGCTAGAAGCCCCCATACAGAGGGTCTGCGGCTGGGACTCGCCCTTCCCTCATATATTTGAGCCCTTCTACCTCCCGGACAAGTGGAGGTGTCTGGACGCCATTAAGAAGATGATCAACTACTGAAGAAAATCTAGCAATATTTATGGTGAGTAATGGTGTCTAGCCTACATGCTAAATTCTTATTTTGTCTCCCAGGAGGAATGAGACTCATCCCCACCCCTCCCCCTCTCATCTCTTACCCCCCCCCCCCCCCCCCCACCCTCTCGGTTCCTTATCCTCTTTCCTCAATCAGAGTTTGTTAATTCAGAATGTATTATAAAAATCACTCTTACGTCCCACCTGAATGATAGGTTGAGGGCAGTCACTTGCAACTTGCGACTATCACTTTTTTTTTTCTCCAATAGAGAGTGTGCAATAGTTTCCGGTACGATCAATTATTCTCAAGTTCACAATACAAAGGTTTGCATGTGGAGGGCACAAGTCCGGAGGAAACATCTGGGCAGAAATTTAGGATTAGCATTCCAGCCTCATTTCCAAAATCAATTATTTTACAGAATGTTAGATTCTTTCCTCATTTGCTGCATGATTTCCTGTAGGAGAATTAACCCAATTTTGACAGTTCTAGCATTTCCTTTCATTTAATTCAATATCAAGCACCTCAAAATGAATAAAAATTAACTTTTACATTACTGAACTAGATCTAGGAGCAAGTGGGAATGAAAGCCTTGAAGGCCTGTATTCTACTAAAATTGATAACCCAATGCAGGGTTTAAGATGTTTTTTCCAGAGGTCAAAGGTCAAAGGTCAATTCTTTCCTTTTTTTATGTACATGTATGTGATTGTAGACCAAGGGTCAAGGTTAACTGTAGTTTAGTAGAATGGGAACTGTGAATTTTATTTGTGTCCAGCTAGAATGTATGAAATCAAAAATAAGTGAACAAACAACGTTAATACCCAGCAATCTATGGGCTAAAAGTCACTAAAAAGGAGTATAAAGAAATGAACTTTTAAATGTAAAAGTTAAACACTGCACACGTGACCCAAGTCGACTTTGGCTCTGTGTGGGTCCTTATGGTGGGTTCTTTTCGATGCAAGCCCATTAGGATGCAATGACTAGTGTACAACAAGTCGTGTTATGTTAATTCAGAGAGTATTTAAACTTGCAGTACTCTCTTTAAAGGTAATACAAAGTTTTGGTATGGGGTCGTGAATTTGGTTCAAATGAACATATTAGAAGCATACATGTATGTGACCCTACAATATTCAGTGATCGTTGTCGCGGTTGAAATCAATTCTAAAGTTATGAAATTATAAATAATAAACTCTTTATGTTGTATAGCTCCCTCTCAAGGTCAAGATATTAATTAAGCTATAAAACAATGTTTCTTGACTAATATCGACCGATTAACTATTCCCGTTTGGAAATTATATATCACAACTACATATTCTGAAATGTTCATGGTCGCAGCTACCATTGTACGGCCGTACGGCACTATTTGAAATTTATCAGAATTTACCTGGAGCACCGGTAAATTTTTATATTCAATTTTTCTCGAAAGCAGAAGTGTTTGAGGGGTTAAATTTTCTAGTGCTTATATTACATCCATTATATTAGACCGCTCCAGAGGAACGGGTCTTGAGGAACGGTTTGCGAGCGTTCACACTCTGAGCAGTTTTTTATGGCTCAAACCGCTCCACGAGTCAAAGTGGTCTTGTTGCTATGGCAGCTCAGGTCAGCAGGTCAATTTTTTCGCGCGCGGAATACAAACCGTATGTACCGTACTACATGTTTCGCACGGAACGTCACTAGCTCATTTTCTGGTCAAAGTACGCTTCCGTTCACATTGCACGTTAGAGCGGTCCAAACCGCTCTTAATAAGACTCGTTCTTCAAGACCACCTCCGGAGGTGGTCTTCTGGAGCGGTCCAGAAGTCCACTTCCTGGACCACTTTGACCGTTCTCACTCACCTAAGAACTGCTCCTGAGGAGCGGGTCTTAGTTAGACCGCTCCAACGAAGTGAATGAGAACGGGGTCATACAGTGACAATATAACCTCTTCTACTAGGAACTACCATCAAGTAATTAAAGCAGTAAACATATCCTGGTTTTTTGCGTGTTGATTTTTTGCTTTTCCAGGACACAAGAAACATAAACCCTTTCCGGTGTATACATGTACATGAATATAGTGTTACATAAACATTTCTAAAATTACAAGACAGTTTGTTTCCTTGTTCTGAACATTCTTTTGTCAACTAATTTAAAAAACATGAAGATCTTTCAACTTAATTGACAGAATTGAACTACTTGAATGTAATGAGAAAGGAAAGTGCAAAGTGTGAATGAACTATCCTTTCTACCCAACTTGTGTAAATGTGTGGTATGTGGTATCTGGTATGTGGTATACCTCTTTTCTTTTTTTCCTGCATGTATTTAGCCTTCCACAGGGTTTCTTTATTAATTATCAACATAGTCATTTTCACAAAAGATCGATACATGCACTATTCCATGACTAGTCATCTAAATATTCAAACAATAAAATATTACAAAATAACCTTGGCTGCACAGCAACATAAAATATATTAAACTTGACAAAATATAATTTGTACACCAATTCTACAGTGTATAACATAAAAACAAACAAGTAAACTGTACATAGATACTCGGAAACATTTGGTAAAATGAAACAATTTTTTTCACTCATTTTTTTTGTTTATGATTTGTTTTTTGAGCTATTAATCTTTCCTTATCACAATAACTGTTAACAGCTGACAAACTTTTTCAAACTGTGGTATCTGATTTTTGCATTTGGTTGAATATATTTGTTATCTTACAATAATTGAGATACAATTCAAAGCGTTTGTATGACCTCAATCTAAGCTAAACTGTGTGGTATACATGGATATTATTTGTTTCAAGTACTTCCTCACATATTGACATTTGGATACATATTTCAATTAAGGTTTAAAACTTTTCAAGTGGATAGTTGATGCTCCATTTCAATTAATGAGAATTTATATTTCTTTGTTAAGAATTGAATACAAACTACTTTCTGTAAGTGTTTTGAATTGCTCAAGTGCATGGATATATTACAATAACAGGTATATGGATTTCATATTCAATTGTTTAAGTTAAACAAAAGCCTTGAAATGCGTGCATAGAGTATAAAAGATTTTTTTAAATTATTATGTGAGTGTGGGTTTCATAAAGGTTTGGATTTCACACTGTACATGTAGGTGTATGTTTTGAAGTGGCGTGTAGTATTCAGTTTTGACAATAGGTGGGGGAGGGAGGGGGGGGGGGGGTGGGTGGAAAAAAATTCCTTAACTGCAATGCCATTACTAGAGATGAGGGTGGAAGTAAGAGGGTAGGTTGGTAGGGAGAGGGGTGTATTCAGGAGGTCATACCCGCCCCCCCCCCCCCCCCCCCCCCCATCCTGAACATTTCTGCTATGTGCAATATTTGGCCATAACAAATAAAAACAACTTTTCTGGTGGATGTAGTTTTGGGGAAGAGGTCTGGTATAGAGGAATCACCTGGGCTAAAATGAATAACAACTCTATACAGAAAATTATTGCTTATGTGGCTATTTTTTAAATTTTTATCCCGAATTATTCAAATTTCAGCTGTCATTATTTTATTTTGGCTTCATCTGAGTAAAAGCAGAAACTTTCTTGATATCAAAATTTTGTGAATCATAAATGACAGCCACTCTCAAGGCAAGAAACTTCAATGCATTGTTAAAATTTAATTTGGTGTCTGTTGTGATTAAACTTTTGCTAGGAGTGGAATTTAAAAAAAAAATCATATTCAAAATGCCCCATCCATTGAATCATTCAAAACCCTTTTCAAAACCCATATTTTGAAACAGTTATAGTATACTGGAGGCACATGCAAGTAGTTAATTCCATTCAACTGAATTGTATTGTATTAGTAATATTCTATTTTATTTTGTTGCCTTTAAGCTATTGAACATGTTGAATAATTATACCGAGGTAGACAGTACCACCTGTGTGCTTTACACCTGTGTAAGGTGCCCTATAAATGTAATTATTACTACCATATTATTATTATTATTATTATCATGTATCCAAATCAGGATCAAAGTTGGTGACCATTCTTTGTGTGTATACAAAAGCATCACGTTTTACAATACTCATAGGGGATGTTGAATAATCCTCCAACATTTTTATCCATTTAGAATATACTTCCTCGGTGGCAATCTGTCATTGAATGCTAATCCCCAGATGGAATCTTTCCCAGTGTTTCAACTCTTCTGAAAGATATAATGAACAGATAGTATGGGCAAAATTATATCAATTAGATGCAATTGCCTAACAGACATCTGTCAGAGTGTGAGCAAGAAAAACCTGATAATTTGATAATTTAATATCAATGATTTGCCCTCTAATAAAAGGCAAGGGAGAAAAAAAATCAATTGGACAAGCATGAACAGCTGTAAATTGCTGACCACAATTATTTGTTTGAAGAGTAACAATCACAATGGTAGCCATTAATCAATATCTGTAGTTAGCTGATTTTTATATTGGTTTGACCGCAGTGGGTAAGTTCAAGTTCGATGTTCGGTGTAGGTGTTGAGAGCTTGGAAAGGCTGCTGAACCGAGCTCCAACACCAGCGGTCAGTTTAGAAGGACGATACTGAACACTGAGGGACGTCACACCTTCATGCAAAATGTCTCAATGATGAAAGGAAAATTAGTGTAAAATATAGCATTCAAATTTCATCATACAGAATATAAAATCTAAAGTCATATTGAGAAATCAATAGAGGTAATATAATTTTCTTGAAAAACATATATAGCTCCAATGATTTACAGCTGTTTTGACTGTACAATGGATTCTACCTTGGCATGATCATGAGATTCGTGCCAGATGCCTGCATACAGTAGTTACCTGCGGTATGCTGCAACACCAACAACGAACTTGAAATCAAAAATTTTCCATTCTCTAGGGGTTGGTGAAAGGGGAAATTACATGTAAACATCAACACCGATCGCGAGCATCGTTACAGCAGACGATATTGAACATCAGCCCTCAACACAGACCAGGCGCAGATTTTCGAACCCTTGTGTATAGTGTGTAGCTACATAAGTTTGTGATGCGTCATTTTGATGCGACATACAGATT